CTCAAGGGCCGATGTTGTGTGTGTTTTTTTTTCTTTTACTTAGGGACCGGCCCACAGTTTAGAGGGGGCGGCCCATATCTTCAATATAGACAGTGGACTAAACCAATCAGGATATCACAGCCTACGAAAGCGGCCCCACCCCTTTCCCCCGCACTGATCCCCGCCACTTTCATAGTGTTGAGCGTGAAACATGGAGAAAGCTACGCAGAAGAAAAGGGGTGCAGAAAAGTTGCAGGAGCAGTTCACCGCAAAAGAAAGTCTGTTTTTGAGGTGAAAGAAGAAGACAAGGGGAAAAGCAGCGAAGCCAAACTAAGGTGATTCTTGAAGATTCATTCCAGCGATGGCGCGACTGAAGCAGACGAAGAGTCTAAAGACTGAACCACTGGTCCACAAATTACTCCTGGACAGGAAACTTCTGCTTATTATGAAAACGAACTTTATTTCCAAGAGCTGGACAAACGTTTTTCAGGACACAAAAGCGATATCCTATGTCTGAAAACATCATTTTCAAGGCAAAGAAAGAGTCCGCTTGCTGCTGCGTGTTGTAGTTAGTTCATTCGCACTGAATCTCCGCGCACTCTTCTCTGCTCCCCTTTCCTGCTCCTGTCCCCGCTGCCCGATCCACTCTTCCCCTGCTCCTCACTTCTCCGGGCCGGAATCTCCGCGCACCTGCTCCACCTCTCTCCTCTCCTCTCTCCTCTCTCTCTCCCTGCTCCTCACTTCTCCGTCTTGCCTAACCAACACTGTAGTTAGTTGTTTACAAGTCATGTGCAGCACCGGCTGTAAACAAACCTGTTTGTGGCGTAAGGAGGAGGAGGGAGGAGGTGTTTCTACGTAGGAGCTGTGGGGGAGGGGAGGTGGTTTCACGCAGGAGCAACATTTGAAAAAGGACAAACAGTGGCTGGATTTCTCGTTCCTTGGAAAATCCTCTATACAACCTTTAATCAAAATCACCAACCACCTCCTATTTGAGCTGACAAAGGACTTCTCTCCTTCCTCATGCTACTGGATCTGACCTCTGCATTTGACACCATCTCTCATCTCTCACACCACACTCATTGACACTGATTGATCTCTATTGGCATATCTCACACACCCTTGCTCTGGTTTAAATTATAACTCTTGACTGGTAGCTGGTCAATAGCCGCACTCCGTAACTTGACCTAGATTAAAAAAAAACTAAGTTATGAAGTTGTTATTTTGTATTGGGTTTAATTTAATATTCTATATGTACAGGCTATGTTTAATATTCTGTTTAAAATTGAACGTGTATCTGCGCAGACATATTTTTTTATCACGTTAAATGTGCTCATATCACTTTATCTGGTTCATGTGTTTGGCCTTTGAGTGTGCTGACAGGTCTATGGAAGAGCCTGAGGTTTTGTCAAAATGTGACATTAAGTTTCTTCTGCCCATTACTTTACTTTACAGCTCTGAAGTACGTCTTTGGGGGCATAGGGACGACCTGAAATCAAGTGATTGGTCTGAATAAATGTTTACCACACACCTGACCTTTGTTATGTTGCTGCATGTAGAACATTACTGCTACAGGCTCATGTATGGATAACCACAGAGCTGTGTGCTGCACAGTTATGGTGAGTTCAACTTCAAGTCAAAGTGCGTTAGAGGAAGAGTTTTAGGGAGTAAAATATCTTCTCTTCAGCATGACCCTTTTGCCAAGCAAGAAAAGAAGCATTAAACTGGAAAGAGTGCATCTGGCTGTGGTGATGTCCTATGGCTCTTATTTTGATTCGCGAACTGGCGAGTGGCGACTACTTCAGCCTAAACACAGGAGAACGAGAGGAGAGACCCGCCGCCGGGGCCGGGGCCTCTGTCCGATTGTTTCTGGGTGTAAAAGTTTGACCTGGGTGTAGTGCAGAGGGCATAAATCCACCTGGTGCCCTAGTACTAATCTGGACTGGTGTAACTTTCAGATTTAAGTGGGAAGTGGGATTAAGACGAGTTTTACAACCAACTCCTGCATTCAGCTCCTGGACCTGCGTGATGGACTTGACTGGACCGGGATTTAGACCAGTTTGATCTCTTGATATTGGACAATACACTTTTGGACACAGAAGCAACAGGACAGTGGAGAAAGGAAACACTCTGCTTCAGTCTCTGGAGAAGGTAAGAGGCTTGGTTTCATTAGATTGAGGCAAATCTGAAGACAGACCCTCACAGGTAAATAGTGCATAAATGAGCTTGTGGCTGCGATGGAGAAAATATAATATCCATTCCATTTCTATGCAGACGATACCCAGCTATACATCTCCTCCTAACCATCCGACACTCTCCCCCCCTGCCTCCCTCCAGCAATGTAGTCCTGAAATCAAGTCTGGGTGTTCATCTAATCTTCTAAAACTCAATAGCAATAAGACCAAAGTCCTGTTAATAGGCACCAAGTCCGATCAACAAAACTCTCAGTCTCTCCATTTCCATTGACAATTCCTCCATCTGTCCCTCCCCTCAGGTAAAGAGCCTTTCTGTCATTCTGGACAGTTCACTTTCATTTCAATCCCATATCAAAAATATCACTAAGTCTGCGTATTTCACCTCAGGAACATCAACCGCCTCCGCCACTTTGTCACCCCTCACACTGCTGCCATCCTCTTCAATAGCCTGGTCATGACTAGACTCAACGACTGCAACTCCCTTCTCCATGGACTCCCTCACAAATCACTCCTCAAGTTACAGCTCTTACAGAACTCAGCTGCCCGAATCCTAACCAGGACCCCCTCCATGGACCACATCACTCCAGTCCTCCAGCAGCTCCACTGGCTTCTAGTTCACTTCTGAATTCAATCCAAGATTCTGTTACTCACCTTTAAATCAATTCATAATCTGACCCCCACCTATCTCCATGATCTGCTCCATACCACGACACCCCCTGCTCCCTCTCCTCCTCCTCCTCTCTCCATCTTTCTGTCCCTCTCCTCCTCTTTTCTCCAGCTCTCTGTCCCTCTGCTCGTCTCGTCACCATGGGGGGTTCAGAGCGTTCAGTCACTCTGCTCCTCAGCTTTGGAACTCACTCCCACCCAACCTCCGTAATCTTGGTTCACTCCCAACATTCAAATCCAGACTCAAAACCCATTTATTTAAATTCACCAACCTCCATTGTCCCCATGTCCTGTACTGATTGATTGTCAAAAACAACTTTGAGGTGTGTCAGGGCTTTCTAAGGCTATGCCCATTGCAGGAAATGCAGATTTTTTACCATCCATGTGAGATGGCATTTTTAAAAGATGGACAAACAGTGGTCTGGTGGTTATTAACCATTTACTTAGCGGACAAACATTTAAATCTTTCTCACATGACATGTATAGGTATTTGCAAATTAGAGATTATTTGACAAAACATGCACAGTGGGACATTGTAACGAGAGCCAACTAACATAGAAATGTATTTTGCTGAACTGTTGAAAAAGAAACCAGAATGAAAAAAAAAAATAGCAGAAAACATCTCAGAAAATATGCAGCATATTAAACATCACAGGGAACTTGAGCTGAATGTGATTATAACAGATGAGCAACGGGAACATATGTGTTTATATTGTCACAAAGGGATTGGAAGCCAAAACTGGAGAGAGTTCGACTGGAGAACAAAGGTCTGATTTTTCAGAACCCTGTTAAAGACATACAGTCGTGGATTAAATTGTTGGTTCCCTCTGGCAATGAAAGAAAAATCAACAATCATCACTGAAATAACTTGAAACTAATAAAAGCAAAAATAAATAAAAATTTACAAAAAATTGTTCTACAAAAATCAAACATTGTTTTTCACCTGTGGTTCAACAGAATAATTATAAAAAACAAAATAATGAAACTAGCCTGGACAAAAATGATGGTACCTTCACTTAATATTTTGTTACACAACCTTTTGATGCAAACTCTGTAAACAAATGATTTGTGTCACTATCAATGAGACTTCTGCTTTGGTCAACAAAGCGACATATAGAAGCCCACACATCTCTCTTAGAAGGTAGGAAGGTCTGAAAAGTTGATTTTGCTTGGGATGGAACCTTTAACATATAATTAGGGTTTAGAGTCCAATCTCTTTTTATTGTTTGTTATTACATACATTGCCTGTGACTTTTGTACTTCTGGCAATAAAGTTCTAAAAAAAGGAAATGTGAGCTCTGGTGCATTACTCACTGTTCCTCCTGTAGGTGGCGCTCCTCCAGCTGCCCCTGCTGTTGCTCACATTACAGCTGTATTGATGTGGAGGGCTGTGAGGCAGAGACACAGAGCTGTGCACAGACCACACTCCGCCCTCTGAGGGGGTCACCGTGGTAAGAGCTGCAGAGGAGGGAGGGCTCCAGGACACTGAGGGAACATTTGGGGAACATAGACATGAAGAACATGAGGAACCATGGAACAGAACATGGAACATACATGAGAACATGAGAACATGAACAAGAACATGAACGAACACAGAACATGAACATGAACATGAACATGAGAACAGAACATGAACATGAGAACATGAACATGAAGAACATGAGAACATGAGGAACATGAAGAACATGAGGAACATGAGAACATGAGAACATGAAGAACATGAAGAACATGAAGAACATGAAGAACATGAAGAACATGAAGAACATGAGGAACATGAGGAACATGAGGAACAGGAACATGAAGAACATGAAGAACATGAAGAACATGAGGAACATGAGGAACATGAAGAACATGAGGAACATGAGGAACATGAAGAACATGAGGAACATGAGGAACATGAACATGAGGAACATGAGGAACATGAACAAGGAACATGAGAACATGAAGAACATGAAGAACATGAAGAACATGAGGAACATGAACATGAGAACATGAAGAACATGAAGAACATGAAGAACATGAGGAACATGAAGAACATGAAGAACATGAGGAACATGAAGAACATGAAGAACATGAAGAACATGAAGAACATGAAGAACATGAAGAACATGAAGAACATGAGGAACGAACATGAAGAACATGAAGCAGTTCCTCTGGTCTCACCTTCCACTCTCACAGTGACATATTTTCCTCTGGTGACTGTGGTCAATGTGCTGGTGACACACTCGTATTTTCCTTCATCCTGAACTTTGACCCCTGAGAGTCGCAGTGATGCGTTTCCTGTGGACAGTTCCTCCTCAAACAGAGAGGTCCGGTCTGTAAAGTTCTGGTTCTGGTTCTGGTTCTGGCCATAATAGTAACTGTGGACTCCAAGATCTTCTGGGATCTTTATCCAGTTAATCACAGGTTCTGGTCCAGACTCAAAGCTGCAGGGCAGAACACAGGTCTCCAGAAGAACACAGGACACTTCTGCATCACCTGAAAAACACAAGTTTATTATTTTTACTGCAGCAGGTTTAAATAAATCAATAAATCAACTAGAATTCACTCAATCTACACAGTCACACTTTCATTTTTATTTTCATTTGATCAAACTGGCTACGTTTGTGGACGAGTCTGTAGATGTTTTGCACTGGTGTCATGCTGGGGGTGTTCTGCATGTACATCTATGGTGGAATTTTCAGCAGTTACTATGGAGACACAATGAACACATCTGAAAACACTGTCTCACATGGACTGAATGGTATTTTATATTTTTATTCCAGTAAAGGTTTAAAACAAAATACTTTGAAAATAATAAAAATAAAGTCTTATGAAAGTTGCAGCATAAAAAAGTCCTTTTATTGATCTGTTTTGTTTTCTGTAGCCCTAGAATATTATTCATGCTGTTGTTTGGCAGTGACCACTAGGTGGTGTCCTGTATTTTGTTTTCATGATCGCTGTTACAGTTGTTGTTGTTTTTGGCCCTTCATGTCCAAGTGCGTCCACCACATCAGCAGCATGAAGAGGCTGTGCAGACGCCTCCTGGCCTCTTCTCTCTGCTCTTACTCTGTCAAGTTCACACTGACCATCACAGTTAATCAAATCTATCAACATCTTAGTTGATATTTGCCATCTTCATGTTAATTGCACCAAATAGGTTATGTAAGATGTTTTATTAACTATTGGTCCTGTTTGGACCAGCACGTTGGTTTGTTTGTTTTTCTGGCAGTTGGAGCAGTCAGGGTCTGTTAGGGTTTGTCTGTGTACTGTGTCGTAGCCTGTTGTAGTGACCATTTACCAAATGTATCAAACATTTACTCAATAATAGTTTTTTCAATGATGTTTATTATTACTATTGTACACTATATATGAATATGAACTTTGTAATTGGTAATTGTATTGTTGTAGTAAATGACTAATAGCTGCTCTTCTCTCTGCCTTTAAGGTCCCATGAGCCAAGCAACTGTAAGAAATACCAATCATCTCTATTGGAATCATCCAATAAATGCACTGACTGTCGCTCATGCCACAATCAAAAAGAACCTGTGCTGTGTCTGCTGTGCTTTTTCTCTCCACATCACATCTAGTCACTCACACATCACCAAACACAACACCGGGTCCTGAAGCTGAGTGTGCGGAGACAACTGGGACCAAACCCAGACCGTCAGTGCGTCAGGGTCACACTGGTCATGTTTTATAATACAGCAGTGGCTCTCAGCTTTAGACAGACCCTGAATGTCTCATTAGATCAGATTTCTGTGAGGATCGTGTCAAAAGTCCGAGTGCACTGAAGGTTTGTGCACGTGTAACTACAGATGTGTACGTGTGAAAAACATTTACACCACATTAAGTTACGCACAAACTCTTTTGTGTAAAAATGGATTTTGAATGGATTTTCTTCTCATAAACTACAGCCTAAAATAGTAACATCATAATAAAATAAGAATATAAAATAATCATAAATCTATAGTGTTAATATTGACACTCGATGACCTCTTTAAACAATCTAATTTGACATCACACTTCCACAAAACGACACAACAAAATGTGATGGTTCAGTTCAGTTTGTGTCATTTACAGTAGTTTATAAAAAAGTGCACAGCATTTATGCACCAAACTGACAAATTAAAACATTAAAACATAAACACAAGTGAAAGACTTAATTAAAAAACTGCAGCTTTTAACTTTAGTTCCGGAGTAACTTCACTAAACCATTTGTCGTAACTTGTGTAATGGAGGTTCTTTAGTTTCTTAAATAAAAGTTATTTCTAGTTTCATTTGCTGTTGTGGTAAAAGATCCTCATGAATCTGATCCAAACAACCACAATATTAAATATTATTATTATAAACACAAGACTTAAAAACACAAACAGGACTTTTCTCAACATTCATTTAAAACTGGAGACAATGTCTACAGAGTCTAAAGTCTAAAGTCTAAAGTCTAAAGTCTAAAGTCTAAAGTCTAAAGTCTAAAGTCTAAAGTCTAAAGTCTAAAGTCTAAAGTCTAAAGTCTAAAGTCTAAAGTCTAAAGTCAAGTGTTCACCTGAGAAAAGATTTAACTCACCTCCAAACGCACAATGTGATAAAAATGATAAAAACAAGGTCCCTAGAAACAGCAGAGGAGCAGATGGAAACATTTTATAAAAATACTAAACTTCATGGACGCGTGTCCTGTTGTTTGAGATCGTTGTCCTGCTATAATTTGGCCAATTAAACAGACAAACTTTTATTTCCTTGTACCTGACAGAGTAGAGCACCGTTATTATTCTTCTACTTCACTTAGATTGTTGGAGGTGACGCCCTCTGCTGGACACATCAAACATCTACATCGGCCTCAGTTCAGGTCAGTTTAAATATTTACTGTTAGTGACTTTACACCCTGAAAATAAACATATTAGAACATACTTAGAGATAAAGTTAAAATACAAAATGAGTTTCAAACAATCATCAGGTGTTCTGGTCCCAGCACCTGACACACACCTTGTTTGGTGACGTCTCATCTGTTCCACAGAACTATAATAGATCCATGTTGAGGTTCATTGTCTCATGGTGGTTTGAGGTGCACAGTGAAGGTGTTGGTGGTTGTGAAGAACGACTGAGCCCAGATCCTGTGGACTTCAGATACAGACTGACAGAACAGTGACAATAAAGTTGAATTATAAATCATTTTATTCATTAGAATCCTGAAAGAGGCTCAGGTTTGTGGTTATTCGGCGCTAGTGACACTCAAGTTTTTATCTGCTAAAACTTGTGAAACGTTCTTAGAAATAAATATGGACCATCCCAAAATAAACTCATGTTTTTATTTTTTAACCCTCTCAGGCTCAAATACATTTTTAGCATCAGGAAAAATCTGATATTTGGGGAAGATTATAATATGGGGTAATAATAAACAATCCTGACTTTTTTATCCTTTGTAAACAAAAAAAGTATTTTACACTTCTGGTCGTTTGTGTGGAGTCGTTCTTGCTCAGTCTGCATCACCCACGTTTATCAGCCTGGATGGGAGAAAAGGCTCCTGAGTAAAAAAAGCTCATAAAATATGGATGTGAAGTAAGTAGGTCATTGGAATTTAGCTGTTGCAAATCTGCAACGTCTGGAGATAAAACTGTATAAAAATGTGTAACTGTTGAAATATTTCATAAACTTTGCCTGTGTCCTCAGGTGTTTCAGTCACACTTTATAGAAGAACTACACCATTTACAGCCTTAAAAAACAACAAAGACTTAAAGCTGCACTGTGTAACTTTTCTCTTCCCTCCTCGTCTCCATGGAGATGCTGTTGCTTTGTCCACAATGCTCCACAGTCTTGCATTAAACAACCCTGCTTATGTTTTTCAAGCAATAAAAAACAACAGCGTCTGTACTGGAATAAACAGGAGACAGATCAGTTTAATGCCACTGTGGAACATTTCAGGCAAAGCAACAAAATCTCCATGGAAAAAAAACCAAGTCAGACAAACACAATGCACCGTTGCTTAGATACAGTTGTAAAAGTGAATAAAATCACTGCTGCTTTTCTTCATTAAATTTCTTTTTCCACGTTCCACAAACACACGTCCTGTTTCCAGTTTGGTGTAAAGTTCAGTTTAATTCTGTCCATGTCCAAACCTTCATCTACAAACTAAAACATCTATTTGATTATTTCCCTTTGCAGAAATGACTGAGCGACTTGTTTGTGAATCTTACACTGACGTCTCCTCTCAGTGTCCTGCTCTTTTTCCTTTGTCTTTTGTTTGTTTGTCTGTGGACTTTGCTTCATTTCACTTCATTTGGTTTGAGTCCAGTGTGAGCAGCTGCAGGTGTCCAGAAAAACACCACTGCAGACACATTGGTTTAGTTTGTTTAGTACTTTTGTTTATGTCAGTTTACAGTGTTGGAGTAACAGATTACAATGTACTGGAGTGATGTAATCAGAGTACAAATGATGAGTATTCAGTTACAGTTACTGTTTCAGTGAGTGGGAATTGGATTACAGTTACTTTGTTGAAATAAATGAATTAAACACTAAACCAGGACTAAACCAGGACTAAACCAGGTCTAAACCAGGACTAAACCAGGAACTAAACCAGGACTAAACCAGGAAAACTAAACCAGGACTAAACCAGGAACTAAACCAGGACTAAACCAGGACTAAACCAGGACTAAACCAGAAACTAAACCAGGACTAAACCAGGACTAAACCAGGACTAAAACCAGGACTAAACCAGGACTAAACCAGAACTAAACCAGGACTAAACCAGAACTAAACCAGGACTAAAACCAGGACTAAACCAGAACTAAACCAGGACTAAACCAGGACTAAACCAGGACTAAAACCAGGACTAAACCAGGTCTAAACCAGGACTAAACCAGGAACTAAACCAGGGACTAAACCAGGACTAAACCAGGACTAAACCTAAACCAGGAACTAAACCAGAACTAAACCAGGACTAAACCAACTACTAAACCAGGACTACTAAACCAGGACTAAACCAGGACTAAACCAGGACTAAACCAGGACTAAACCAGGACTAAACCAGACTAAACCAGGACTAAACCAGGACTAAAAACCAGGACTAAAAACTAAACCAGGACTAACTAAACCAGGACTCTAAACCAGGAACTAAACCAGAACTAAACCAGGACTAAACCAGGACTAAACCAGGACTAAAACCAGGACTAAACCAGGACTAAACCAGGACTAAACCAGGACTAAACCAGGACTAAAACTAAACCAGGAACTAAACCAGGACTAAACCAGGACTAAAACCAGGAACTAAACCAGGACTAAACCAGGACTAAACCAGGAACTAAACCAGGACTAAAAACCAGGACTAAACCAGGACTAAACCAGGACTAAACCAGAACTAAACCAGGACTAAACCAGGACTTTTTCTTTGGATGACACTTGTCGTTCAAAAATCACACATGATCATTGAAAACTGAAACGTAACAGAAACATGCTCCAAATATGATTCAAAGTGAGTAACAGTGAAACAATATTCTCAATAATATGAAACAATAAAACTCTGCAGTGTGGAGCAGGAGAACTCATCTACTGGAGGGTTTCAGACTCTAGAATGTTCTGAGGTCACACTCCCACTGACACTTCACTTTCAGAACAAATATACAACAGGAAAATTCACTAATGTGACTCCAGGACTAGACCCAAGAACAAATCTGTATTTAATCATATTTATCTGAGCTGCTCCCGTCTCTATGAAATATTATTGATCTGTACAATTCTGTGATGTCGTCTGAAACACAACTAAACCAACTTTGTACTCTCCTTCATCTCAACATCTTCCTCTCCAAGTTCATCATCTCCATCCTCTCCCTCCAGGTCCATCATCGCCTTCATCGCCATCGCATCGCTCGCCTGGTCCATCTTAAACTCCAACATCCTCCTCTTTATGTACATCTTCATCGCCTTCCTCTTCCTCTCCGGGCCCAGCTTCCATCTCCCTCAACATTTCCTCTAGGTCGAACAGCTCCATCCTCTTCGGGTCCATCTTCATCTCCATCACCCTTATCTCTATGTCGATCATCCCCATTATCTTCTTCACCAGGTTCATCATCTTCCTCTTCAGGTTGATCGTCACCATCCTATCACTCTCCAGGTCCGGCTTCATCTCCTTCAACATTCTCTCCAGGTCATTCCTCATCTCCATCCTCTTCTTCTCAGGTCATCATCATCTCTCTCTCCAGGCATCATCTTCTCTCCAGGTCATTCCTCATCTCCATCCTCTTCTTCTCCAGGCCATTCCTCTCTCCATCTTCTCTCCAGGTCATTCCTCATCTCCATCCTCTTCTTCTCCAGGCCATTCCTCATCTCCATACTCGTCCTCTCCTGGACCATCATCTCCGTGATCTGTTTCTCCATATCCTTCACTTCCATCATCTCCGTCTCCTCACTGTAATGAAAATGTATTTTTTGTGATTATGTGATTTAACTTTGAGATCATTGGTTTAGTGTTTTTAAAAGTCTTCAGTCACAGGGATAAAAGGTGAATACTGAATGTATTCTTCATGTCCCATTTCTATAAAAGGTTTATCTTAAAATAGAAAGATTCTGTTCAACTCAAATACCTTCTGTTCCTCATGTCGTCTCGTCTTTTCATCTGTAAAGAGAAGAAGAAGTGTGAGTGAGTGTTTGTGTTCCACAGACACAAGGATCTGTTCTTAACACATTTCACACAGACACTGCCTCTGAGCGACACACATTTCATAAAGTGTGAGATCACGTTTGGATTTGTGTCAGGAACATATAAGAAGAGCCCACAGAGACATAGCGCCACACAGTGGGCGGAGTGGGCGCTACATGCAGTTTCTGTTTAAAAGTGAAGACTGAGTCCAGGAGCATTCACATCAGAGACTGAAATCTGAACTTTAAACTCATCCAAGAATCCCGTGTTTTTCAGAAGCTCTTTGAGTCGGAGCTACAGGGTTATGAGCTTTGGTAAAGCTTCATTCTGTCTTCAGCTTTAAACCGTGTGTGCACCTGCCTCACATGTTTCAGCTGCTTCCTGTGGCCTTCCTCAGGTCACAAAAACATGAACATGTAAGACTGGACTGTTTACGCTCTTCTCATCCATCAAAGCAACTCCTGACAGACCAATGAAACTAGTCCATCCACACTCTCCCGCTGTACAAAAGTGTAACGTTTGTTTTGATGCTTTTGTTGGATGAGACTGAAGTGATTTTAAAATGTCTGAAAAATGACACAGAGAACTGAGCCACAGACAGAGCTTCAGATCATCAGGAGACAAAGAAACAGGAACACCAGGTTCATAAGGCCTTAATAAGACAATAAGGTGTTCTAAAGTCTCACTCCATGAAACAGAGATATCTGAGGAGGCTTGTTCCTGCGTTTACAGCAGCTCACATGTTGCAGATAAATGACTGTGATTGGTCCTTCACAAACTTGAAGGTGATTTTCTGTGACGAGGCTCCAGATGCTTTTCAAAGAGAACGACAGGGTTCAACTGCTCTGGTCCTGACAGAACAACACAAACAAACTGGATCTGACTCTAGATCTACTCACCCAGGGACGTCTCCAACAGAAGAGAACAGTGATGATCATCAGGACTAATACGAGTACAAATAGAATAGAGCCTATAATTATCCATATATATGTGTGGTCTCCTGCAGAAAGAAAAGAGTGTTTGAATTCTCGGTGTTCAGATGAAACCAGGAGTCACTGCTCACACTTACTTTGTCTCACTCCTTCAGTGACTTCAGTGAGGATAATAAAGTTCTCCTGTTCAGTCTTGAGTTCACAGGAGAACAGGCCCAGCTGCTCTTTGGTCAGATTCTTCAGGATCAGACTGTTGGACTTTGTGACCACAACAACAAAGTGTCTCCAGGACTCAGTGTAGACCGACTCTGGTCCAGACCGACTCAGAATGATCTGATTCTGGTTGAACCTCCAAATGAGACTCTTCACTGGAGCAGAGGGTTCAGTGCAGGAGATTATCACTGAAACATCTAAAACAACAAAACAAAAAAGGATCAAGTAAAAATATTAAAATAAGACAGAGCTTTTTATAACTGATCTTAAACACAAACCTGTGTCATAATAAATGACACTGTCCCTCCAGTAGGTGGCGCTCCTCCAGCTGCCCCTGCTGTTGCTCACATTACAGCTGTATTGATGTGGAGGGCTGTGAGGCAGAGACACAGAGCTGTGCACAGACCACACTCCGCCCTCTGAGGGGGTCACCGTGGTAAGAGCTGCAGAGGAGGGAGGGCTCCAGGACACTGAGGGTTTGGGGTAGACTCCCTCAGATCTACAGAGGAGCTCCTGCCCCTGCTGCTGCAGAGACACTGGAGCTGGAGCTACAGAGAGACGCTTCACTGTCAAACCACATTTACACTCTTACATATGTTATTATCAAAATAATACTCATTATTTACCAGAAACAAACACATCCACAGAAGAGTCTGTGATGTTGGGGCTGTTGACGTAATTGGCTTGACACCTGTAGCTTCCTTCATCCTGAACTTTGACCCCTGAGAGCCGCAGTGATGCGTTTCCTGTGGACAGTTCCTCCACAAACAGAGAGGTCCGACCTCTAAAGTTCTGGTTCTGGATATGAAACTGGTACTGACCTCTATGGTAAATATGAACTGGAGTTTGATCATGAGGTTCTTTGGTCCAGTGGATCACAGGGTCTGGTCCAGGCTCAAAGCTGCAGGGCAGAACACAGGTCTCCAGAAGAACACAGGAGACAGCAGCGTCTGAGGGAGAAGACATGAGACGCTCAGAGTCCTTCTGCAGTGAACCAGCTCAGAGACACACTCAGAAACCCCAGTGAGGCAAATGTCCTCTGCATTTGACCCTTCAGTGTCTCTGGGTCCTGGAGCAGGTTTTGGATTCACAAACAAAATACATTTGTGCAGCTCTTCGTGTCCTTCAGGTTGAATCTAAATCTGTTTCATTATTTAAAATCATAATTATTCTTCTGTGGGTTTGTGTTGGACCTTTCACTTTCATCATATTTAAAGAGAAGTGAACATGTTCAAACCAAACGAGTGTGAGTCAAAGTGTTTTCATGTCTGGGGTTAGTACCTGTGTGCACCACTAGATGGAACCAGAACATCACAGATCCACAGTGTGACGTCAAAGTGAAACCGAAAGTGTTTTTAAGTGTGTTTTTTTTTTTAATCATCTGAAACACGCAGCCTGTGTCTTTTTTAACAGTTTTAGCTGAAAAATAACATCATACTTTAAAAATAAATGAGTTAAACTACAGTAATGTGATAAACCTGAGACTGCAGGGACCATTACAGAAGTCTTATTAATGATTCACACACAGACAAAGAAGTGACATTTCTGTTTCATTTCCATAAATATTAAACTAGAACAAAGTTACAAACGTTACTCCACAGTCACATGAAAACACAACACCTGTAATCTAGAGTCACGTGAACTTTAACGAGACACAAACACAAACAGACTGAACAGAGAAAACAGGACAATGATGCACAGATTTAGTTTATGTGTGAGTCTTACCTTCTGCAAAACAACATGTAAATACAGACATCAGTATCAGGAGAAATAAATAAAACTGCAGCATGTTTGGTGAAGTTTTCTTCATAAAAACACTTCACACTCCATAACTGACTTCAGCCACACGCCCAAAAAGAAAAGACCTGAAAATGTGTCTCCATCACCCACAGTTCCGGTTTAGAGACGAGGAAGGGCAGGACACTACAGCGTCACTGTCAGTTCTGTGTTCGCCAGCTTCAATTTTCCTTTTTTTAAATTCAATATATTCAGGTACATACAGACATATAAAGAACATTTACAGTACGGAGGTGGTTCAGAGTTGATCACACAGGAGAGCAGCAAGAAGGAAACCAAAACTAAACAAAAAAACAAGATAACACCATAAATTAAATAAAATGATTAAAGAGTTGTATCAGGATGTAGGGGAGAGTGATATTGTTATAAATATTTCTTATAGTTATTATATGTTTTAACCACGTTTTTGTTTTGGACGCAACAAAACTGTAGCTGTAACTAAATAGTAAAAAAAACAAAACAAAAAAAAACTCTTGGTGATATATCGATATAGCAACTTGCGATATCGATACTGTATTGTCACATTAAATGATACGATATATCGATATTTCACTATGTCAATATTTTTGCACACTTCTGTTTAACACACAAACGCTACAGATTTAGGAAAACACTTTCACTAGGATCATTTGGATCATTTCAGCCCTGGAACTGCCGATCTAAATAAATAAATAATGATTAAAAAAATGAATGTTAGGAAAAATATTTATTGTTGTGATTTTTTTTATACAATATCTGCAAAATTTTATGTTCGCCATTTACTCACTCTTTTTGGTTGCACATTATTATTACACTATATTTAATACATAATAATAATAAAGTTTATGGAACAATATTCTAATTTGAGATTTAGATAATAAAAGTCTAAAGTCCTCAGTCTGTGGGTTAACGTCACTCTCCCTCTGTCCACTGCTTTATTTGTATTTAAAGTATAATTATAGTATAATGCTCAAATTTTCTAATTTATCTTTTTAAATTTTCTAACCTATCTTTTTCAAATTATTATAAATCATGACTGTGATACTAAAAGTCTTTTTTAAAATCACTTCTTGTGCAAAGTTCATATGAAACACAAACATTTTCCTCTTAAAAACAGTGAAAATGTCAAATGTGTTACATAAACGAGTTTCCTTCCATCATTTGGATCATTTCGGCCCGAGAATTGCCAATCTAAATAAATACATTATTATTATTATTATTATTATTATTATTATTATTATTATTATTATTATTATTATTATTATTATTAATAAAGAAGATTGTTAGAAAAAAATATTTATTGTTGGGATTTTTAAAAATAATATCCGCAAAATTTGATGTTTGCCATTTACTCACTCTTATTGGTTCCACATTATTATTACACTATATTAAATTCATGGTAATAGTTTGTGTAAAAATACTCTAATTGGACGAGTTTCCTTCCATCGTTTGGTTCATTTCAGCCCTGGAATTACCAATCTAAATAAATAATAATAATAATAATAATAATAATAATAATAATAATAATAATAATAATAATAATAATAATAATAATATTTATTGTTGGGATTTTTTAAATATAATATCTGCAAAATTTGATGTTCTCCATTTATTCACTCTTATTGGTTGCACATCATTATTACACTATATTTAATACATAATAATTATAATTAGAGATTTAGAGCATTTATTATTTATTATTTATTTTAGTAAACAAAACGGTTTCTCCCTTCACTTCCGCCCAAACCGGATGTGACGCCGCTGCAGAAAATGGCGTCTGTGGATCCTGCGCCGAGCTCCGGGTCCGTGTAATCCATCGGCCCGGTCCCCTCCGTGTGTCTGCGGCTCAAACATGACCCTGCTCCCCGCCCGGACGCCTTCGTGACCGGGGACCCACACGCGGCTCTCCCTGGATGTCCCAAGGAGCCAGAGCGGCCTGGGCGGACGGGGCAGGCCGAGGTGAGGCGACTCCTGAGCGGCTAAGGCTAAAGCTGCTTCCCCCGGGCGAGCAAAGTCGGATTTACGAGGCTCAAAACATCCGCACAAACGAACAACAACCGCGCCGACACCTACACACGCACTCTGCCTCACGTTTTTAACTATTACACTTTAAAAAACAAACAAATGTGTGAGAAAATGTAATAAAATGTGGCATTAGTGGCTCCGCTCTCCTGTTGCTGCGTCTGTGTTTACAGGGACGCAGACGGAGCGCTGTTTGGGGCAAGAATACAAGAGTTTTTCCTCGTTGAATGCGATTTCTGCGCACGATAAACACAAAATAAATGCACACAAGTAAAACGAAGCTGTGTTTGTGTTGTTACGATAGACTTATCTGCGTTTTTGTTGTCACGATACTGAAATTTCAAACTCGATTTCAGTTATTGGTGCGCATCGCCATGAATCTGGCGATACGATACGAATCACGATAGGCCGGTCACGATTCAATGTATCCCGATATATCCTGATACTAGCGGTGTAACGGTTCACCAAAATTTCGGTTTGGTATGTACCTTGGTTTTGCTTGTTGTTGATTTGTGATTTTATTAAACCAACGATTTGTTTTAACTTTATACAAACGGGAAAATAAAATAAACGCAAAGTTGCTACTTGCTACTAATAAGTTCAATAAAATATTCTCAAATAAGCAACAAATATATGAAATATTATAAGAAATAAATTCCTTGTAACTTTTCAAAAAGATAAAGTGCAACACGAACAGTTCCAGCGAGAAGTTTTACTCAAGCTTCAGATTTTTGGCCAGAAAAAAAACAACTTGTTCAGAGGGATGTAGTCAAAGTGTGGGGCAGTTGTTGTGTGTTCCCCGGGCGAGCAAAGTCGGATTTACGAGGCTCAAAACATCCGCAAAAAAGTACGACAACCGCACCGACACCTACACACGCACAGCAACTCACGTTTTCAACTATTACACTTAAAAAAACAAAGAAATGTGTGAGAAAATGTAATAAAATGTGGCATTAGTGGCTCCGCTCTCCTGTTGCTGCGTCTGTGTTTACAGGGACGCAGACGGAGCGCTGTTTGGGGCAAGAATACAAGAGTTTTTCCTCGTTTAATGCGATTTCTGCGCACGATAAACACAAAATAAATGCACACAAGTAAAACAAAGCTGTGTTTGTGTTGTTACGATAGATTTATCTGCGTTTTTGTTGTCACGATACTGAAATTTCAAACTCGATTTCAGTTATTGGTGCGCATCGCCATGAATCTGGCGATACGATACGAATCACGATAGGCCGGTCACGATTCAGTGTATCCCGATATATCCTGATACTAGCGGTGTAACGTTCACAAAAATTTCGGTTCGTATGTACCTTGGTTTTGCTTGTTGTTGATTTGTGATTTTATTAAACCAACAATTTGTTTTAACTTTATACAAACGGGAAAATAAAATAAACGCAAAGTGCTACTTGCTACTAATAAGTTCAATAAAATATTCTCAAATAAGTAACAAGTGTATGAAATATTATAAAAAATCTATTCCTTGTAAATAGTAAACTGAACTTTTCAGTACAGCACAAACAGTTCCAGCGAGAAGTTTTACTTCAAGCTTCAGATTTTGGGCCAGAAAAAAACAACTTGTCCACAGTGTTTGCAGTAAGGTGGGTGAAAGTGAGGAAAGGGGCGCGACAACCGTAGTTTTGCAGGATTCTCGTGGTTTGGAGGGGATGTAGTCAAGTCGGGGGGCAGTTGTTGTGAAGGTGGCCGCTCTAACTATAAAGCGCTGTGGGAAACACTGCCCCAATCACAGACGAGTTCCTCTTGAATATTAAAGAGCAGATTCTCCAATGTAAACACACACAATTTGCGTGGAATCACTCATGCACAGACCTGCACCGAACCAAACGTCCTGTACAGAAACAGTTCAGCACAAATACATGAACCATTACAACCTGTACCTGAGACTAAAACAAAGGACGATATATTGTGACTTATCAATAATTATGTCTAATATTTTGGTCGAGTAACATCCACAAAACTAAATTTAATGAAATACAGTTGAGAACAGTACATTGAACTTGAAATTGAAAACATAACTTTTAAAAATCGATTCAGACACATTTAGAATCGATATAAGAATCGCGCAATGAAGTATCGCGGTATATCACTGAATCGATATTTTCTTACACCTCTAATTTCAGAGCTGAGGAATAGACTCAAATGCTCAATACTGATTCTGATCCACAATGATAATAAAAACACACACGATATGCTGTGATTTTCCACTTTAAATGAAATAAAACTTTCTTTTCTGTTCCCGTGTGTGTGTAATCCCTCACTGGTCCAGGCAGGTTTCATACTAGTTTTAGTATCGATTAGGATCTGATTTTCGATACTTTTGTCAACACTAATTTATGTTTTCTCACAGCTCGATTAAATTCTCTTGTTATTAACTCACTTTTACACATTTGACAGCTCTTAACACGGTCTGATTTGTGTTTTGTCAGAATCAGGGAAACACAATCTTTGGAAATGCGAGCGGGCCGTCACAGCGCCGCCGCAGAAGCCTGACGTCGCTGGCCCCGGCCCCAAAAGGTACGGCTCGTTTAAACCAGGCTTAAAGATGCACTGCGCAACTTTTCTGGTGGACGATGCATCACCTGTTTGTCTCCATGGAGATGTTATTGCTTTGTCAACGCGTCAATCTTGTGTTTATTTATTATGGGTGTTTCTATCACTCAAAAATACAATCAATATCTTGTGAAAAGGAGCGACTCTGCACAGATCTGACCTGTAACTTAGCTTATAGTTGTCTGCTTTGAGGTATAGTTTAAATCTCTACTGTGGAACATTTTAGACAAAGCAATAACATCATTATGAACTTTGCACAAGAAGTGGTTTAACAAAGACTTTCAGTATCACAGAAACGATTTAGCCTTTATTTTGTATTAAATCTTGTTTAATCAAATTTGAAATGTATCGCATCGAGTCAAAAGTGCACTTTTATCGAGATATGTATCGTAGCCTATGTATCGTATCTGCAACTTCATAATGATACCCAGCCCAAGTAAAGAGAGGCATGAGTTGTAATTTGTTTCGGTAAAATACAACAAATCTGCGTAAAAATGACCAAAACACAAAGAAAATGTGACTATACTGACTCACATTTTATTGGTGAATGGTCTCTGCGTAACAGTTTTCCTCAAAAACCAGGGATATCCTAGTTTTTAGTTTTTAAATTCTGGTCTCTCTGTGTCTGTCCTGTTTTTAGATGCTTTAGTTCTCGTATTCTGTTGTAGTTGTTGGATGAACCCAAGGAGAAAAGGCAAATCATACTTATGGATTTATTTGTGGAGTTTTGAAGCAGTAACATCTCCATGGAGACGAGCAGGTGACGGACCCTCCACCTTTAAGTGTCTGAGTGTGGTTTATTTTGTTTTTGTTTCTGTTTCATAAACCTGATAGAATCTGGTTCAGTTGCTCTGGAAATCTTGACTTGGAGTTCAGCCATGTTAAAGCTGCACTATGTAACTTTACTGGTGGAGGGTCCGTCACCTGCTTGTCTCATGAAAACCTTACACAGTTTGGTGTAGTGTTGTCACGATACTAAAACTTCAGACTCGTTTTCGATACTAAAGAACAGACTCGATACCGATTCTGATACAACGATGATGATGATGATGATGATGATGTTAAAAGGAAAAAACATTTGCCACGTTTACATGAGAGCTTTAATTCTGAATAAAAATAATTTCATTCAGAATAAAAATGTATTCTGCTTTAAAAAGACCATGTAAACTCTTACCATATTTTGTGCACTATTAGGTGCTCTGGATTCAGTAAATGGTCTATTTTCGAACTTTTTTCACAAATAAACCGCGTGGGACTTTAAAGGAAACCCAACAGTGTGATGGGTGAGTGGTTTTGTTTGTTTTGTTCGTTCACGGTGACTCTGGGCTTTGTTCAGTTGTGGCGTGTAGGGAGGTGCTGTCTGGGACCAGTGGATTGTCAGCGTGTTCGCAGTGACTCAGTTGTTCAGTCGTGTCTAGAAGAGGCACGTTGGACTCGCCTTTTCGGTTCGTTCCTTCGTTCCGTTCCTCGTCGGCGTGGAGTGATGAGTGTGTCTGTGGGTGTTTTGGCGCTCTGGATTGTGGGGCTCAAACTCTTTCAACTTTAAAATCAGAATAAACTAAACACTTACTTCAGAATTGAGTTTAATTCTGAATAATCATTTTCATTTGGAATTATCGTATTTTACGGGCTTAAGCCTCCAATCCTATAAAAAAACGACCGTGCGCCTCACAATCCAGAGCGAGCGCCCTATACACGAATCCACTCAGGTGTCCCAGCACGACTTCAGTAAACTACAAAGCCGCAGAACACGTAAACACACACGGAGCAGACAGGGGCCGTGCAGCGAAAAACACCCACAGACACACTCATCACTCCACGCCGACGAGGAACAGAACGGAGGAACGAACCGAAAAAGCGAGCGCGACGTGCCACTTCTAGACACGACTGAACAACTGAGTCACTGCGAACACACCGACAATCCGTTGGTCCCAGACAGCACCCTCCCTACACGCCACAACTGAACAAAGCCCAGAGTCACCGTGAACGAACAAACAAACAAAACCACACTCACACTGTTGTGTTTCCTTTAAAGTCCCACGCGGTTTATTTGTGAAAAAAGTTTGAAAATAGACCATTCAATGACAGTGCTCCTTATAATACAGAGTGCCCTATAGTGTGGAAAATACAGTAACTAATTTAGACTTTTCCAGCTGATTTCAGTTTGTGTGTTGAACAGGTGTGAATGAAAAAAACACAGGTCTGTCTGTGGTGAGGAAACTACATTATAACATATAAAATAGCTTAATATGGGCTCTTTAAAATATTGAAATACAATACATTTATTCAGATTCAAATTCTAATCTTGACTTTTCTAAGCTCCCACAGTTACATTTCTCCATCAGGAGCTCAGTATTTAATGTTTAAATATTTAATAGTTTAATTGAGATGAATCTTGTTCTGTATCAGAAGTGTATTGTTGGTTTTGTGCGATGGTTGTGTGTTGTTTTTAATTGTCTCTGTGTTGTCGTGCAGGTGATTGACGCTCACAATCGGACTGTAGTTGCATCCACTGGACACTAGGGGCACTGTCCTCTGATTGGCTCAGACAGCCCCCTCTGACATGCCCGTGGCCAATCAGAGGTGAGTGTGCGGCGCCAGGCTCGAACTCTGAGACGAGTGTGTGACGAGTGTCTGTGTGATGTGTGTGACCTGTGTGTGTGTGACGAGTGTGTGTGTGTGTGTGTGTGTGTGTGACGAGTGTGTGTGTGTGTGAGACGAGTGTGTGTTGTGTGTGTGTGTGTGTGTGTGTGTGTGAGTGTGTGTGTGTGTGTGTGTGTGTGTGTGTGTGACGAGTGTGTGTGTGTGTGTGTGTGTGTGACGAGTGTGTGTGTGTGTGACGAGTGTGTGTGTGTGTGACGAGTGTGTGTGTGTGTGTGACGAGTGTGTGTGTGTGTGTGTGTGTGTGTGACGAGTGTGTGTGTGTGTGTGACGAGTGTGTGACGAGTGTGTGTGTGTGTGTGACGAGTGTGTGTGTGTGTGACGAGTGTGTGTGAGTGTGTTTGTGTGTGTGTGTGACGAGTGTGTGTGTGACGAGTGTGTGTGTGTGTGTGTGTGACGAGTGTGTGTGTGACGAGTGTGTGTGTGTGTGTGTGACGAGTGTGTGTGTGTGACGAGTGTGTGTGTGTGTGACGAGTGTGTGTGTGTGTGACGAGTGTGTGTGTGTGTGACGAGTGTGACGAGTGTGTGTGTGACGTGTGTGTGTGACGAGTGTGTGTGTGTGTGTGACGAGTGTGTGTGTGTGTGTGACGAGTGTGTGTGTGTGACGAGTGTGTGTGTGTGACGAGTGTGTGTATGACGTGTGTGTGTGTGTGTGTGTGTGAGACGAATGTGTGACGTGTGTGATGTGTGTGTGATGTGTGTGGCATGTGTTTGACGTGTTTATGATTGAACAGAATTGTGGTCTACAGTAAATAACTCCTGCAGCCACAGACTTTATAATAAAAATGTCCTGTGTGTCATAAGCCCCTCCCTCTTTGCTCAGGTGTGTCGTAAGCCCCTCCTCCTCTGCTCAGGTGTGTCATAAACTCCTCCCCCTCTGCTCAGGTGTGTCATAAACTCCTCCCCCTCTGCTCAGGTGTGTCATAAACCCCTCCCCCTCTGCTCAGGTGTGTCATAAACCCCTCCCTCCTGCTTTGCTCAGGTGTGTCATAAACCCCTCCCCCTCTGCTCAGGTGTGTCGTAAGCCCCTCCCTCTGTGCTCAGGTGTGTCATAAGCCCCTCCCTCTGTGCTCAGGTGTGTCATAAGCCCCTCCCTCTGTGCTCAGGTGTGTCATAAGCCCCTCCCTCTTTGCTCAGGTGTGTCATAAGCCCCTCCCTCTTTGCTCAGGTGTGTCATAAGCCCCTCCCTCTGTGCTCAGGTGTGTCATAAGCCCCTTCCTCTGTGCTCAGGTGTGTCATAAGCCCCTCCCTCTGTACTTAGGTGTGTCATAAACCCCTCCCTCTGTGCACAGGTGTGTCATAAGCCCCTCCCTCTGTACTCAGGTGTGTCATAAGCCCCCCCGCTTTGCTCAGGTGTGTCATAAGTCCCTCCCGCTTTGCTCAGGTGTGTCATAAGCCCCTCCCTCTCTGCTCAGGTGTGTCATAAACCCCTCCCCCTCTGCTCAGGTGTGTCATAAGCCCCTCCCTCTGTGCTCATTTGTGTCATAAGCCCCTCCCTCTGTGCTCAGGTGTGTCATAAGCCCCTCCCTCTTTGCTCAGGTGTGTCATAAGCCCCTCCCTCTTTGCTCAGGTTTGTCATAAGCCCCTCCCTCTGTACTCAGGTGTGTCTTAAGCCCCTCCCTCTGTGCTCAGGTGTATCATAAGCCCCTCCCTCTGTGCACAGGTGTGTCATAAGCCCCTCCCTCTGTGCTCAGGTGTGTCATAAGCCCCCTCCCTCTGTGCTCAGGTGTGTCATAAGCCCCTCCCTCTGTGTTCAGGTGTGTTATGTCGGCGGCGGATGTGGAGGTGTACTTGTCCCAGGTGCATGATGGGAGTGTGTCCGCGGGGTTCAGGGCGCTGTATGAAGAGCGCCTCCTACTGGACGTCACCCTCATGATCGAGGAGCACCACTTTCAGGTCAGTCTCTCCCTAAACACCGCAGACTTCACAATTAAAGCCGCACTGTATAACATTTCTGCACAAAACTGGATTTTATTTTGTTTTCTGTGTTTTCTCTGCTCTAAAATACCTTGGAAAGTATGTGTATCTATTACAGGGGTGGGCAAACTTTTTGGCTCGGGGGCCACATAGAGTTCTAAAATTTGAGGGAAGGGCCGGACCAGGAGCAGATGGATGGAGTGGGGAGAAAAAAAATAACACACACAAATAACACAGCCCTGTACAAGCCTTGGCCCAACCGAACCTCTACACACAAACATGCTCCATGCTCCACGCTCCACTTAGGCTGCGTTCAGACTGCAGCCTGAAGTGACCCAAATCCGATTTTTTGGCTTCTATGTGATCTGTATCCGATCTTTTATTGACAGTCTGAATGGCACGGATCCGATTTTTTCAAATGCGACCCAGGCCACTTGGATATGTGGTCCTGAAACCGATACATATCTGATCTTTTGACATGTGACTTCAGTGTGAACGGCCAACGCACTTCCATCCGACCTACACGTTATCAACAAGACACAAACGTCACTATTCTGCGCTGAAGGAGGCGGAAACCGGAACTGTAAAATCTCCAGGTGCTTGATGCTGCGTCCATGTTTGGACAACTTCCGTAAACACAGAGCACGCTCGCTGCGGTGTCTCCAGTGCGCATGCGGGACACTTTCGGGCCGTTTACCGTTCACACTGGAGTCACAGACAAGTCGCATTTAATTGGAAATGTGAACGACCTCGCAAAAACATCGGATTTCACAAAAAAAATCGGAATTGAGCATTAAGCCCTGCAGTCTGAAGGTAGACTAAGACTCTTACATAGGACGTACTCTGCACTTCAGTGAGTTTCAGGGGCAAGCAGCGTAGTTCTTATTTAGTATCACAGCCCACGTCCCGAGTTTCCCTGTTAACAACAAATAAAATCAAATGTGTATGTTTTTTTATAACATACTTGTGTACTTATTTGGATTTTCATGCATTTTCTGAACCACTGATGCTTTTAAAGTGCTTCTAGGTTTAATAATTGTAACACAAACTATAATAGTGTCTCCAGATGTTCCAGTTCTTTTCCCCCTGTTGGACTTATTATTAAATATTAAAGGTACTTTGCGCTTCGCAGGCTCACAAGGCGCTGCTGGCGACTCAGAGCGATTACTTCCGGGTGATGTTCACGGCCGACATGAGGGAGAGAGACCAGGACAAGATCCACCTGAAGGGACTGAGCGCCGCCGGGTTTGGACACATCCTCAGATTCATGTACTACGGCTCCCTGGAGCTCAGCATGCCCACGGTGCAGGAGATACTGCAGGTGAGACACTACTGCAGGTGAGACACTACTGCAGGTGAGAGACTACGACAGGTGAGACACTACTGCAGGTGAGACACTACTGCAGGTGAGAGACTACGACAGGTGAGACACTACTGCAGGTGAGACACTACTGCAGGTGAGACACTACTGCAGGTGAGAGACTACGACAGGTGAGACACTACTGCAGGTGAGACACTACTGCAGGTGAGAAACTATGACAGGTGAGAAACTATGACAGGTGAGACACTACTGCAGGTGAGAAACTACGACAGGTGAGACACTACTGCAGGTGAGACACTACTGCAGGTGAGACACTACTGCAGGTGAGAGACAGGTGAGAGACTACTGCAGGTGAGAAATTACGACAGGTGAGACACTACTGCAGGTGAGAGACTACTGCAGGTGAGAGACTACTGCAGGTGAGAGACTACTGCAGGTGAGAGACTACTGCAGGTGAGAGACTGAGACAGGTGAGAGACAGGTGAGACACTACAACAGGTGAGACACTACGACAGGTGAGACACTGAGACAGGTGAGAGACAGGTGAGACACTACTGCAGGTGAGACACTGAGACAGGTGAGACACTACGACAGGTGAGAGACAGGTGAGACACTACGACAGGTGAGACACTACTGCAGGTGAGAAACTACGACAGGTGAGACACTACTGCAGGTGAGAGACAGGTGAGACACTACGACAGGTGAGACTGAGACAGGTGAGACACTGAGACAGGTGAGACACTGAGACAGGTGAGACACTACTGCAGGTGAGACACTACTGCAGGTGAGACACTGAGACAGGTGAGAGACAGGTGAGACACTACTGCAGGTGAGAGACAGGTGAGAGACTACTGCAGGTAAGAGACTACTGCAGGTGAGAGACTACTGCAGGTGAGACACTGAGACAGGTGAGAGACAGGTGAGACACTACTGCAGGTGAGACACTACGACAGGTGAGACACTGAGACAGGTGAGAGACAGGTGAGACACTACTGCAGGTGAGACACTGAGACAGGTGAGACACTACGACAGGTGAGAGACAGGTGAGAGACAGGTGAGAGACTACTGCAGGTGAGACACTACGACAGGTGAGACTGCCACTGTCTTGACACTGTGTTTGGTTTCTGTAGCGCCATCTGATGGTTTAAATATGAACTGTTTCCTGCAGAAGCTTTGACACGGCGCACAGGACTCGTTCATTGAGACTCGTGAACATTTGTCATCGATGCTCTGATCTCCAACAAATGAAAGAACTGACCAAGAAGATAATACAGTCTCATGTCATTAAAGCAAATCACAGCGAGGTGAATGGTTAAAGTAAAATAAAAGTAAAATAATATAGTTCTTTCAGTAAATCTGTACAACTTGGGACTGATCAAAATGCGTCCACACAGAACAGGCCTGTGTTCTGTTTCTCTGTGGTTCTGTGATAAACAGAGACACTGCGACAAATCTGAGCCTCGTGCTCCTCGTTCTACACGAGCCGCCTCAGAGCTCCCGACACGAGACACACCAACAGTACAGTACATGTGTCTGCTGTGCTGGGAAGGTTACTTTTAAAATGTAATCCCCTACAGATTACTGATTACATACCCCAAAATGTAGTTTGTAACATAATCCATTAAATTATTTAAAGTGAGTAACGTAATCTGAATACTTTGGATTACTTGATTTGCTGTAGAGAAACAAAGACCAGGATATAAGTAACATAAGATGTTTTGTCTGATAAAAGAAAATGAAAAGGCCGAGTCTTTACTTAACCACATTAAAAATATTATTGATAGAAGATGAGGAGACACGTCCGCACAGCAGGATTTAGTCCTGTTAAATCCTGTTAAATCCTGTTTTAGTCCTGGTTTTAGACCTGGTTTAGATCTAGTTTAGACGTGGTTTTAGTCCTGGTTTAGTCCTGGTTTAGTCCTGGTTTAGACCTGGTTTAGACCTGGTTTAGACCTGGTTTAGTTTTCTGCAATGAGTGGAATTACCAAAAAAAAGGGGGATATAGCCCAAAATGCGAAAACAGGAAAATACCTCCATGTAATCCATTTATTTCAACAAAGTAACTGTAATCCAATTACCACTCATGGAAACAGTAACTGTAACTGAATACAGTTACTCATAATTTGTACTCTGATTACATAATGCCAGTACATGTAATCTTTTACTCCCCAACACTGTGTGTCTGTCACGTGACTTTTCTTAAAGTGAAACACACAGTGACAGTTTGACACAGGCGTCATGTGTCGACTCGTTTGTTCCATTACTATGAAAGACTGCACCAGGGAAGGGGAGAGGCAAACTGTTTTTCAATAGAAAGTGAGTTATAGTCAGTGGAGCCAGAAGTACACCCATGCTCACTTCCTGTTTGGAACACGGCTGCAGTGCCGCCCCTGACCTGCATTAAACTCCACTAATGAGCTCGAGTGTTACAGACCGGCTCCATCACTGCCGTATGAATCCTGTGGCATTAAAGAGGAGCTGTTACACTTTCATGAACTTAATCAAATCAAACATTTTGCCCCATAAACTTGACACATTTGCAGTTGTAACGTCGTCCTGTATTATTAAACTGACCTCTCCTCCGCGTGTCCATAGGCGGCGATGTACGTGCAGCTGACCGAGGCCGTGGAGTTCTGCTGTTCTTTCCTGCTGGCCAAGATCTGCCTGGAGAACTGCGCCGAGGTGATGCGTCTGCTGGAGGACTTCAGTGTGGGGGTGGAGGGGGTTCAGGAGCAGCTGGACTCTTTCCTCCTTCAGAACTTTGTCCCGCTCATGAACAGACCCGACTTCCTGTCCTACCTCAGCCTGGAGAGACTACAGGTACCAAACAAACACAGGACTCTTTTCCCTCTTCTGTAGGCTCTTCTCTCTCCTCTTTAGGCTCTCCTCTTTAGGCTCTTCTCTCTCCTCTTTAGGCTCTTCTCTCTCCTCTTTAGGCTCTTCTCTCTCTCTCTCTCTCTCTCTTTAGGCTCTCTCTCTCTCTTCTCCTCTTTAGGCTCTTCTCTCTCCTCTTTAGGCTCTTCTCTCTCCTCTTTAGGCTCTTCTCTCTCCTCTTTAGGCTCTTCTCTCTCCTCTTTAGGCTCTTCTCTCTCCTCTTTAGGCTCTTCTCTCTCTTCTAGGCTCTTCTCTCTCCTCTTTAGGCTCTTCTCTCTCCTCTTTAGGCTCTTCTCTCTCCTCTTTAGGCTCTTCTCTCTCCTCTTTAGGCTCTTCTCTCTCCTCTGTAGGCTGTTCTCTCACTGTGATCTCCTCCCTCCTCTCTGTAGGCGTACCTGAGCTCTGATGCCCTGAGCAGGTTCCCAGAGATCGAGTTGTATGAGGCAGTTCAGTCTTGGCTCCGTCACGACCGAAGGAGATGGAGACACACGGACACCATCGTCCAGAGTCTGAGGTTCTGCCTCATGAGTCCAGCCAACATCTTTGAGAAGGTCAGAAACAAGACAAAATATTACATGTTTGTTCATTAGAAACTGCTCAGGAAATACTTACACTGACTACAGTCTGGGTTTACAGTCTTTGTAAAGTCTGGGTTTACAGTCTTTGTAAAGTCTGGGTTTACAGTCTTTGTAAAGTCTGGGTTTACAGTCTTTGTAAAGTCTGGGTTTACAGTCTTTGTAAAGTCTGGGTTTACAGTCTTCCTACAGTCTTCGTAACACTCTGGTGTGTCTGTGTTTCCAGGTGAAGACATCAGAGTTTTACCGTTATTCTCGGCAGCTGCGTCAGGAGGTGGAGGCGGCGCTCTCGTATTTCCATGACGTGAACCAGCAGCCTCTGGTGGAGTCCAGGTCCAACCGGATCAGATCTGTGCGCGCGCAGACCGCTGTGTTCAGAGGGATGATCGGACACAGTATGGTGAACAGCAAGATCCTGCTGCTGCAGAGGCCCAAGGTTTGAACCAGACCTGTTCTGAGCTTCATGTTCTAGTGTTTCTCCTCACTGACCCTCTGAGGAGTATTTGGAGTGATTCATGCATGTTTGAGGAATCTTTAATCACATATTTTTAAAACGCCATTTTGCCAATCTTCCCGTTTTCAGTCACATGATTTAATGAACTCACAAACAAACTGTCAAACGCAGAGTCCAGAGTCGTCTGAAGAAATGCTCTTTGAAACAGAGGAGGAGGGGCTAGTTTCAGTCTTTGATAACTGAAGCTGAATAAAGTTTCCTTGTGCACAGGAGGAGAAGCTGCTGAGACACACAGAGCACATGCTCTAAACCTGTGGGCAAAAAGTCAGAACAGAACAGAGGTCCACAGATCACAGCTCTGCACAGGACAAGTTATTTTCAGTGTGTAATAAAACACTTCCATCCATTCTTTTCATGATACTGGTTTGTTTCAGTTGTTTCCATCAAATGTAAAATGTTTTCTGGACGGAGATGAAACATCATGATCACAGTGACCTCCACCGAAACCTCCACTACAATAATAATGATGACACCTTCTACTTCTGTAATGAGCTGTTCAGGTTCTTCTCAAAGCTCCACTGTGTCGTTCACTCAACACTCTGTGGCGTGAGATACTCCTGAGGCCACAGCTGCCCTGGGACAGACTGACTGAAGCGAGGCTGCCAATCTGCACCATCAGCCCCTCTCACCTGCATTTGAGCTCAGAAAGTGTCCCTGCTTGTGTCTCTGCCCGTGGTCCTGCCCATGGTCCTGCCCGTGGTCCTGCCCGTGGTCCTGCCCGTGGTCCTGCCCGTGGTCCTGCCCGTGGTCCTGCCCGTAGCTGCAGTTCTGTTTTCTGTGATATTGTTTTTTAATAGTTTCAGTGAATCTGGTTTGGGATCTTGGACGTGTCTATCTGAACATGATCCGGTGTCTTGGTTCCGTCTGCTGATGTTCTGTGGTGATTCTGTTTAATGCAGCTCTGTGATCAAACACAGACACGCCCACTCTCTGCTCCTATTGGTCGGCCTCTCTCTGGCTCTGAGTGACAGGTGCATTTAACCAATCACAGTGAAGGTTTCAGAAGTGGAGATCTTTATATAAAACTGACAGTTATATAGTGTATTTCTCGTCTGTTGTTCTGTGTAGTCTCCTTGTTGACTGCGTTTCCCATGATCCTCAGGTGTGGTGGGAGCTGGAGGGCCCTCAGGTGCCCCTGCGTCCTGACTGTTTGGCCATTGTGAATAACTTTGCGTTCCTTTTGGGCGGAGAGGAGCTGGGGCCCGACGGGGAGTTCCACGCCTCCTCCAAAGTTTACCGCTATGACCCCAGACAGAACTCCTGGCTACGCATGGCCGACATGTCTGTGCCCAGGTGAGTCTGTGCCCACTGTGCCCAGGTGAGTCTGTGCCCACTGTGCCCCGTGTGGAGCAGCATGTTTAAAGTTTTCATCTGTTTGGCTGTGATTTGGCAATAACCAGCCTAAATGTGCAGGGTTTGTGTTTTAAACGTGAGAATGAAACAAAACACAAGTGCAGGTTTGTTTGTGAGGAGGAAACATTATAATGTCGATCAAAATAGTGTGATATGGACCTTTTAATAAAATCACAAATGAACTGAGGGTAAAGTTCAACGACCTGCCACAGAAATTTTCCTAAATTTGACAAATTTTGTCCAAGAATTTCGTTGGAAAAGTGGTGATTTTTACTAAATCGTTTAGTTTGTTTAAATCTTAGTTTTTGACATTCTTGTGCGTCAGGTTTGTTTCTGTTGTTTGTTTGGGGCTCTGGGATTGAAAAGTGGAGCTCTGGTCTTCACTCGTCCCTTTCATTTGTTTAGTTTTTATTCGTTCTAGTTTTTAAGTATCTGTGTGTCGTATTTTCTGTGTGTTGTGTATAATCAGCCTGATCTCTGTGCTGCAGGTCGGAGTTTGCAGTGGGCGTCATCGGGAAGTACATTTACGCTGTTGCCGGGCGGACTCGAGATGAGACGTTTTACTCCACGGAGCGTTATGACATCACCGAGGACCGCTGGGAGTTTGTGGATCCGTATCCAGTCAATAAATACGGACACGAAGGAACTGTTCTTAATGGAAAACTCTACATCACAGGAGGAATCACCTCCTCCTCCACCTCCAAACAGGTACAAGTACCACAGTACTACAAGTACTACAAATACTACAAATACTATAATACTACAGATATTACATATACTATAATACAACAAATATTATAATACTACAGTACCGTATTTTTTGGACTATAAGGCGCTCCAAATTATAAGGCGCAAAACAATCGCATAAATCTACTTTATTCAACTCATTCACAAAAACTCTCAACATTGTAACATTGTCGTTGTAACACATAAAATACAAAACACTCACACTAACTCACCCGGCGTCGCCTCTCTGTCTGTCCCTGGCTCCGACAATCCATCAAGCGGTGCAGCTTCATGGTTTACCAAAGTCGTACTAAAACATTACGACAGATTTTTCAGTGCCGTGTACCACATAAAATTGGTTTGAGGTCGGTAAACACAGCAAGGATTAATATATAAGGCTCCAAATTATTATAAGACACACTGTTGATTTTAGAGAAAATTAAAGGATTTTAAGTGCGACTTAAAGTCCGAAAAATACGGTACGTTAGAAGGAATCATCCCCACCTCCAAACAGGTGAGCAGAGCGCTGCTCCTGATGGTCAGTGAGGACGTGTAGATTTCAGTTTTGTTTTTTATGTTTGTGGCATTTGTTTATTTCTGTTTTCTTGTCACCAGGGGGCGACAGACTCACTGTTTAAACGAGCAGAGCAGGTTAAAATATAAAACTGTGTCCCTCTTGTGTCTCAGGTGTGTGTTTTCGACCCGGGGCGAGATGCCGGTTCAGGGGCGGGCCCTCCGGACAGGCCACGCCCCTCTCGAGCCGTCCCCCTTTTATCGACCAATCACGGTGGCTGCTGGGAGAACAAGTCCAAAATGAACTACGCGCGCTGCTTTCATAAGATGATCTCCCACAACGGGAAACTGTACGTGTTCGGGGGCGTGTGCGTGATCCTGCGCGCCTCCTTCGAATCGCAGGGATGCCCTTCCACAGAAGTGTACGACCCTCAGAGCGACGAGTGGACCATCCTGGCCTCCATGCCCATCGGGCGCAGCGGGCACGGCGTGGCGGTGCTCGACCGTCAGATCATGGTGCTGGGAGGCCTCTGCTACAACGGACACTACAGCGACTCCATCCTCACCTTTGACCCCGAGGACAACAAGTGGAAGGAGGACGAGTATCCCAGAATGCCTTGCAAACTGGACGGGCTGCAGGTGTGCAGCCTGCACTTCCCCGAGTACGTTTTGGAGCACGTGCGGCGCTGTAGCTGAGGCTTTTTCTACAAACTCCAAAAGGACGAAGAAGAAGAGTCAAACCAGCACTTGTTAGCTTCTGTCAGCTTCTCTTAGCCGCCGCCAGGAGCTGCAGCCAGAGGGGGGCGCTGTGGGGCTGGAGCTGCAGCCAGAGGGGGGCGCTGTGGGGCTGGAGCTGCAGTAGGGGAGGGAGCGCTGTGTAGAGCTGCAGCTGGGGGGCGCTGTGGAGCCGTGTTTGATTCTCAGCGGCCAAAACGAAACGAAACTTGTTGTGAGGAGATGTGTTTTCTGAAGTTTGGACTTAATCAATTTCTTATTTGATTTAAAGACGCACCGTGTAACTTTAGTGGTGGAGAGTGTGTCCCTTGCTCGTCTCTGTGGAGATGTCATTGCTTTGCCTGGAATCTGGAATATTCCACAGTGTGGCATTAAACTTATCTATCTTGCTTTTACAGAATGACTTTTTATTCCTCAAAAACCCCTCTCCACAGATCTGACCTGTGAGGGATCCATCCTCATCAAAGTAAAACCATCTCTGTGGAGACGAGCGGGGGGCAGACTCTCCACCGGAAAAGTGACGTAGTGTGTCTTTAAAGCCCAGTTTGGATCAGATTAAACGCTCTGGAAGCATTCAGGGTCATTTTCACAGTTTTCCGTTCAAACATAAACAGGATTGTGCCGGTCGGGTTCACGGCGTTCTCCTCTGCGTTTGTCTTCTGCTGTATTTACTCTCACCCAACACTTCTTAAACGGGATTTCAAAGTCTCTGGACCTGATCTTTACCGTCTTAAACACATGAAAAACAGAATCGGTTCGTTTTATCTGACCACGATCTCGGAGTTCGTCAGAAAAATTACAAATCGACTGTTTGGTTCTCGTCCATAAACTCACTGAACCTTTGCTTCCAGTGCGTTCCACCTCTGTTCATCCGGCTCCCGTCGCACATTTATCCGCTGATACTTCGCAGTGACGTCGCGCTGGGCCCTGGGGGTGTTCTGCATGTTTGTCTATGGAGGAATGTTCAGCAGTTACCACGGCGACGCAACAAACACATCGGTAGGATGTCCACACGTCCAAGTTTTACCCGGGACAGTCCCAGTTTTGAGCCCTGTGGATTTATACAAAACCAGGTCTAAACCAGGTCTAAAACAGGACTAAAACAGGTCTAAAACGGGACTAAACCGGGACTAAACCGGGACTAAAACAGGTCTAAAACAGGTCTAAAACAGGTCTAAAACAGGACTAAAACTGGTCTAAACCAGGTCTAAACCAGGTCTAAAACAGGACTAAAACAGGACTAAACCAGGACTAAACCAGGACTAAACCAGGTCTAAACCAGGTCTAAACCAGGACTAAACCAGGTCTAAACCAGGACTAAAACAGGACTAAAACAGGACTAAAACAGGACTAAAACCGGACTAAACCAGGTCTAAACCAGGTCTAAACTAGGACTAAAACGGGACTAAGACGGGACTAAGACAGGTCTAAAACAGGACTAAAACCAGACTAAACCTGGTCTAAACCAGGACTAAAATGGGACTAAGATGGGACTAAAATGGGACTAAGACAGGTCTAAAACAGGACTAAAATAGGACTAAACCAGGTCTAAGACAGGACTAAAACATGTCTAAAACAGGACTAAACCAGGTCTAAGACAGGACTAAACCAGGTCTAAGACAGGACTAAACCAGGTCTAAGACAGGACTAAACCAGGTCTAAAACAGGACTATCACAATTTTTGTCTAATCTGATCCCTGCTGACAGTAACGAGGAGTATAAATTGTGATCTGAGCTGTGGGAAACGGTTATGAATTTTTTAAAAAGCGCATAGTCCATCCTTGAGGAAAATATCTAATCTACCAGGACTAAAACAGGACTAAACCAGTCTCAGCCCTAGTCTGGTCCCGGTCTCAGTCCTGATCACCCAACAGTCTACATGGGTGCACCTCCAGGCCCGTCCCGACACTCAGTACTCGTTTAGTCCTGAGTTAGTCCTGGTTTAGTCCTATTTTAGTCCTAGTTTAGTCCTGGTTCAGTCCGGTGCAAAAGTTCGGCATCGCAGTTTAAATTTCAGAAACGGGAAACGTCGTTATCAGTTTTTTCCATTTTTCATTTAAACAGAAAACTGAAAAAACAAATCATTATCTGTTTTTTAATTTTGGTTTTGGAGACAAATAATGAAGAAAACTGTTGATTTTTTTGTTTCCTTATTCTTGGTTTTATTTTGAAAAACTAATGAAAAAATGATACACAGATTGTACTAGTTTAGAATTTAGAAAAATGGTCCGAAAGCTCAAAAAAACAACAACACAAAAGTGATTTTTAAAGAGCACGTTTTGATGTTCCTGTGATCATGATCCTGTTGTTTAGGAGTTTCAAACAAAGCTCAGATTAAAGTCTAAATCGAGTCGCGGAGCTTTGGACAGAGCAGTGCCTCCGGTTAGCGTCACACCCCCAGAGAACATGGAAGTCGTCCGCTGCGAAGTATCAGTCGTCCTCGTTCGAACGACACTAAAACTCCAGGTTCGTCGCGACTGGTTCTGTTTTTTTGTTTTCCTAAAGGTCCAGTTTGTCGTTTGAGCTTCGATCACGTCGCCACAGCTCGAATTTAGACTTTATTTACCAGATGAATTATACTTTTACATCGATTTAAGAAGCAGTTTGTGAAGAAAAGCTGAAAAAATATGTTGAAAAAAATGACAGAGTTTCATTTTAGAGAGTCCCACGTCGGAAAATTCTGACCAAAAGTTCTTCAAGTTTTTTTGGAAACTTAAAACGCCTTTATCTAGTTTTCTAAAATAATCCTTTCTTATATTTTTATTTGTCTAATAATAATCTCTGTGATGTTAGAATTATTTCATTTTGGTCGTAAAGTCAGAGCCGTTTTACTTCATTTCCCAAACATACACCTGCTTGTTTCCATGAAGATGTCGTTGCTCTGCCTGGAATGTTCCGCAGCTCTACTTTACAGAGTTCCCACGGTCATGGAAATTTGTAAATTCAATGGAAGTTTTGGAAAAGTCATGGAATTTTAGTGTCTTTTTCACACAACTCCAACGTCTGCGTCTTTTGTTTAACCCTCCTGCACCCCGGAAACATTTTTTTTATATCTCAACTTTTCTTTTTTTGCCTTATAACTTTGGCGTTATTGCACCAAATAGCACCAAAATTGGCCAGTTTGTGTATTTTGTGATGTATTTTTAATTTCTGTGATTTATTTCAAGATCACATTAATTGAACGGTCTAAAATTAAAAAAACAAACTCAGGCCTGTGCTACTTCCGTACATTTTTGTTTGTTCGTTGACTCAATTACAGGTGATTTTACAGCCCAGAAATAATTTGTTCCATCAGATTTAGAATTTTAAATTCTGCTGAATTTCTCACTTTGAATATTTTAACTCTGAAAAAAAGATGAACAAATAAGAGTTGAGGTTTTGATGAGGTTAATTTGGACCAATCAGATCGCTTCACTGCATCATTTTCTGCTCGTTACGAAGTTAAATCGAATCATTTTGGATCGATTGTTTCTGAAAAGAATATAGAATATCTTTGTCATTGTAACAGATAAAATAAAATAAAGTGCAGTTTTTGTTCTGTGCAAAGGCAGCAACAAATAATTAAAGATAAAAAAGATGATGAAGAAAAAAAATAGATAAAGTTCGCCGCCGAGAAGAGCTGCCTTGACAAACAAAAAACAAAACATCTTGGATCTTTCCTGCAATTTTTTTTTTTCCACTACAATTTCAGATTTTTTAGGGCTTGAAAATATTTGTGCTAAATATTTAAAAGTTGTTTTTTTGTTATATTGAATGTTAAACACTTTTTGATAATGTAGGCTTAAAATTCCAGCAGCTTAATTCAGAACAAAAATAATTCAAACATTCTTTTCTTCAGAGTTAAAAAAATTCAGTGTGAAATTCAGCAGTGAAAATTTCTCTTATATGGCCAAGATTTAAAACTTTTTCAGATTTATTGTTGACTTACTCGTTCTGAGACGCTTCATTCTCGTCTAGAGCTCGTTTATTTTAAGAGAACTTGATAATTTCACTACTTAAAAGTCATTTTCTGATAGATTTAAGTGTTTATATCTTAAATTTTGGCCAAGCTTTTTTCGAAATCTGATGAAACAAATGATCTTCGGTACAAAAAAAAAAAAAAACACCTCAAAAACAGACTGTGAGCGGGATCGCCTCTCCACAGATCTGCCCTGGAACCTGTGGCGATATAGTTTAGTCTCTCTGAAGATAGAAAAGTTTAATGCCACACTGCGAAACATTCCAGGCAAAGCAAAAACGTCTCCGTGGATTAAAAAATAAACTTTTAACGGACCCTTTAAAGCAAACTGGACCTTTTCCGTTGTGGACAGTGACGGACCTTGGACCCGAACACTAACGCGCGCCTTTCTTTTCTTTTCTTTTCTTTTCTTTGGGTTTTGTTTTGGGCTTCGTCCGTTGTTTAATCTGTTTTTATTTGTCCATGTTGTTGCCACGGTGACCGACTGTGAAAAGGGCTAAGAGAGAATCGAAGGCCTGTTTTATTTATAGAGCTATGCAGTAAGTGTAGAGTTATTTATTTACTGAAAAAAAACTGCACTCGTGTCATTTTTGTATGTTTTTATTTAATTTAAAGGTCCCGTATTACGCAGAACTGACTCTTGTGAAGCTTTAAGTCGAGGTTCTAACGTTGTTTCCTCGTCAAAAACAAACCTGGGAGTTTTGTTTTTTGTTTTGTTTCATTCACACGTTTGACTAACTCTTTATTATTAGTCAATTTTTCCATTGGAACATCGGCGTTCACTTTTTTTTTATTGAAGACGGCAGCAGCGAACACTTCTTTTCACAATAAAACACATGCGGTTTTCCAAATTAAAACATTTCAGCCACGTTTACGATTAGTGCTGCTCGATTATTTTGGTTAATATTCAAATCACCATCATTCAAACGATTATTTTTAGTTACATGATGCATTTATTCAGCATTTTTCTCAAAAAAACCCCAACAAAAACAATACACTTGATAAATTATGCAAAACTTTCAAATTGAAAACAAATACAGGCTACAAATCTGAACCTTAGAGCAGATTTACACATAATAACATAAAATGAATCAAATTAACTTTGAACATAAAATAAGGCAGAAAAACATAAATGTGTCCAAAGTAAACTCTATATCCAGCTGTTCTACAATCTCTATAGCTAACAAAATAAAATAAATATACTTAATTATATAAAAATATCCCAAAATAAACTTGTCGACTCACACTTGGACTTTAGAACCGTGCTGATCACTGTGGGTTTTATGTTTCGCACAAACTGAATCGAGCCACGATGACGTCATCACATGCTGCTGATTGTTTACATGTGGAGCAGAGCAAAGAATCAGAGCTTTAATGGAGAAAATAAGTCCAGCGGCAGAAATATCTATTAAACAGTGAGACAGACGTGAGTCCTGCTGCGATTCGCTCCTCCAAGAGTTTATGGAGATGATCAGAACTGTAGCTCCACATCACACACAGCGCACACAGTTTTCTTATTCTCTGCGAGCACACGCGAATCTGTTATAACGTCACATCCACACTTCAAGGGTTTTATTTTGTTTCACGTGTCAGACTTGGAGAATAATGTGGACGCTACTCGGAAAACTTTTGTTATGAAAACGCAGCCATTTGCACTTCTATAATTTTCACTTCAATGCATGTTTTACAACATTTAAAACAGTTTAAAACAAGTCTGTCCAATATTGGCCTCAACACAACACTGACCACCAAACCCTCCGACAGAAATACAGACGCAGTACAGTGCTGCAGTGATACGAGTGACTGAAATTGTTATTTAAACCAAAACTCCAAACACAATGAAAACTGTTCATACTTAAAAGTGAAACTGGGCGCAGACGTCTCTGAATCTTTGCTCAGAATCTTTGCTCGTTTCCTCTGAGTTCTTCCAAGTTCTTCCGTCCGAGGAAAAGGGACGTGTCAGTGTGTGTCGCTTGGCAACGTCCCTGGACCTCCAGGACGGATGGATAATAAAACGCACCATAAATGTGCCGGTTTATGCGTTAAAACAATGAAACAAAACACAACTGCAGGTGGTTTGTGACGAGGAAACGACGTTAGAACAGTTTGTTTTGTATGGGCCCTTTAAAGGTTTCGCAGATCTGTCTGTGCTCAAACGCTGTATTATTTTTGTCACTGTAAGATTTCGCTCTTTTGTCCAAACGCTTAAAAAGAGTCGATGGTTTGAGTGTCGTTTTATATTGAATTTAAACTGGAAAAAATGCTTGAAAGTGAAAAGTCGGCTTTGTAAACACGGACGTTTAAAAGGACGAAAATATGAAGTGATCAACGAAAGAACGCTCCAATGGCCAATATCATTGTCTGGGTAAATATTATTCTTTTCTTTTCTACTTTAGTGCCACATTATCGATGCTTTGCGGCGACGTCACGACTCGGGGCGGGACAGGGGGAGTTCTACATGTGCGTCTATGGCGGAATGTTCAGCGGTTACCACGGAGACGCGGCGCACGCACATTGAAAAAGGTCATCTGAAAAGTCGAGGAAAAAAAAAAAAATACCAAAGTGATTTAAAGAGCACATTTTCATTTTCCTGCGTTCAGATTGAAGCTAAAACGTCGGATTAAATCAGACAGAGCAGTGCCTCCAGTTAGCGTCACTTCCCCGGGGAACGGTCATGACGTCGGCTGCAAAGGATCAGTTTTAACGTCCGTATTTGTCGCTTCCAGTTGGACGTTTAGGCTCTTTTATTTTGACTTTTTTTTTTTTTTTTGGGAGTGAATTTAAAGCTATATTACGTAACCTTTCTGGTGCCTGAGAGTCTCCATGGAGATCTTATTGCTTGGCCCACAATGTCCCGCAGTATGACTTTACCTTTGTTGCGTTTATTCAAAATTCTCCGTTTGAGCGGGATCGCCTCTCCACAGATCTGACCCGGAGGTACAGGTTTAATGCCGTACTGTGGGAAATTTCCAGGCTGAGTATTGACGTCTCCATGGCGGCAGAAATGTTACGCAATGCTGCTTTAAAATTCAACCCTTTTCGATTTCCTCGGTGCCACAAATGTTTTTTAAAAAGGTTCCACAGTTTTTACTTGCACGGACGGATTCACGTCGTAAAAACGGTTTAATAAAGTTTCAAAATTTTGAATGAAAATGAAAGTAGAAACTGACGCAACAGATGCAGCTGTGTCCTTGGGCAAGACACTTCACTCCTCCTCCTGTGTGTGTGTGTGTGTCTGTGTGTGTGTCATTGTGTGTGTGTGTTTGTGTGTGTGTGTCTGTGTGTGTGTGTGTGTCTGTGTGATTGTGTTTGTCTGTGTGTGTGTGTGTGTGTGTCTGTGTGATTGTGTGTGTGTGTCTGTGTGATTGTGTGTTTGTGTGTGTCTGTGTTTGTCTGCGTGTGTGTGTGTGTGTTGTGTGTTGTGTGTGTGTGTCTGTGTGTGTGTGATTGTGTGTTTTGTGTGTGTGTCTGTGTGTGTGTGTGTGTGATTGTGTCTGTGTTTGTCTGCGTGTGTGTGTGTGTGTGATTGTGTTTGTGTGTGTGTGTGTGTGTGATTGTGTTTGTGTGTTGTGTTTGTGTATGATTGTGAGTGGGTGTCATTGTGTTTGTGATTGTGTGTCTCATTGTGTGTGTGTATGGGATTGTGTGTGTTATTGAGTTTGTGTCATTGTATGTGTGTGTGTCATTGTGTGTGTGCATGATTGTGTTCATGTGACTGTCGTGTGTGTGTGCGTGTGTGTGTTTATGTTTGTGATTGTGTGTGTGTGATTATGTTTGTGTGCAAGTGTGTGTCTGTCTGTGTGTATCTGCTTGTATTGTGTGTACGTGTGTGTGTGTGTGTGTGTGTGTGTGTGTGTGTGTGTGTGTGTGTGTGTGTGTGTGTGTGTGTGACAGAGCCAGGTTTTGTGCGTCTGTCCCAGGGCAGCTGTGGCTAAAGTGTGACTGAAGAATGAAACTCACTTTAGACTTTTGTTATTTTTTTGCTTTATTTCTGGAGAGTTTAAAGCGGATGCCCTCCCAGACACTAAACGTGACTCGTGTGGACAAACTGCAGGTGAGAAGTGTCTTGCCCAGAGACACAGCAACAACACCACAAATGGACGAACTAAAAATAAAAATAAAGAAGCGCTAATGGGACCTTTACCTCTCGAATGTATTTTAATTTTTGTTTAATTATTTTTGCGTTAAAAGGGTAAAATGTTCCCTCGACGCTTCAGACGCAGCTTCTCCCCATAGCGACAGATCTGCAGTTATCTCCGCGTTACCGATAGAATCGCTTCAACTCAATTATTCCGTAGAAACTCACATTTTAGAGGATTTTAACCTTAAAGCCGCTTCAGCTCCGAGTGTTTCCGGGCGACAGGAAATCCGGAGTCTGGAAAACATTTGTAACTTTTCCTGAAATAAATGTTCATATTGGTCAAACTTTCAGTGATCTGTGTCCATTTCATTTCACAACTTAAAGCTGCGTTGTGTCTGGAATGTTCCGCAGTGTGGATTTAAACCTTTCTGTCCTCACGGAGACCAAACCGGACCAAGTGACAGGTCGGATCTGTGGAGAGGCGACCCCGCTCACAGTTAGAATGTCTGTTTTTCTACAAGCTTTAAAACTGTAACCGAATAAACGTAAATTAAAACTGTTTAATGTCACACTGTGGAACATTCCAGGCAGAACAATGATGTATCCATAGAAACAAACAAGCAGGTGGCAGAACCCCTAACCAGAATGTTACACCGTGCAGCTTTAGATTTACAAATATGTTTAAGTTTAATCTTACCTATTATTTGTTTAATGTTTTTTTTTTTACAAGGATCTGTGAAGCTTTTACAGTGTTACTAAAGTCATTTTAAATCTATGTGTGAAGGACCAGAATATAAAATACACTTTAAATAAATTTTTAAGTGATAATATCCAACTTTCTGGAGGTGGAAAGTCACCTGCATGATTCTATGGTGAATTAAAGCCACACTTTGGAACATTCTCCACGGAGACAGACGAGTTTATGTGTAATATTCAAGCCAAAGGAACAACTTTTCCATAGAAACAAAAAGGAAGAGGATCTCAAGAAACAACATGTATTTATTCTAGTCTGTTTTTTGTTAAAAAGTTGAATGCTGTGGCTTTAAAATAAAAAAATATTTTGAGTTTGTCTTTGTTAATTAAAGTATTATGAAAGAAATTTAAATGAGAACTACAATTTCTCCAAACCTTTCCCAAAAACTAGAAACCGAGGGTACAAAATAAACTTTTAATACATTTTTAAGTGATAATATTCAACTTTCAGGAAGTGGAAAGTCAACTGCATGATGCGATGGTAAATTAAAGCCACACTTCGGAACATTCTCCATGGAGATAGACAAGTTTATGAAATATTCTAGTCAAAGGAACAACTTTCTTTTTTTCTTTTTTTTCTTCTTCTTCAGTGCAAGAGAAACAAAAAAACACTCTAAAAAACTAAGAAGAAAAAAAACAGTTTTAGTCTATTTTTTGGTTAAAAATTTACATACTGTGGCTTTAAAATAAAGACAATATTTAGAGTTTGTCTTTATTTTAAGTCAATGGTAATTAAAGTATTATGAAAGAAATGAAAATGAGAACTACAACATCTCTAAATTTTCCCAAAAAACTACAAACCAAATGTATAAAATACATTTTTAATACATTTTTAAGTGATAATATTAAACTTTCTGAAGAAGAAAAGTCACCTGCATGATTCTATGGTAAATTAAAGCCACACTTCGGAACATTCTCCGTAGAGACAGACGAGTTTGTGGAATATTCTAACCAAAGGAACAACTTTTTTTTTTTTCTTCCAGTGCAATAGAAACAAAAAACAAACAAACAAAAAACATGCTATTTTATTTAGTTATTTTTAAGTTCCGTACTGTGGCTTTAAAATTAAAATAAAAAATAAATATTTTAACTTCGGTAGTTAATGTATTACGAAAGAAACGAAAAGAACTACAACTTCTCTAAATCTTGACAAAAAACTACAAACCACGGGCAGTGTGACGTCATTGTGAAGCGACGGACGTTCAATACGCTCAAAACAATTGAAACCCGTTTTTATTCATTTACACAATATACAAACACATTAAATCCCACTATAGTCCATAAAGATGTTTGTGTCGTCAATATTACATTTCCGGAGTTTAAAAATATATTGTTTTTATAAATGAAATGAATTGCATCAGCTTCAGTGGAAGGACCCCTGTTTCCCGACACAGGCGACACATGCTAGTTAGAAACACGGGATTTATTTTGATTTGTCACTAAATATTAACAAAAGCAACACGCCTTTAACGTTATAACAGCTGGTTTGCTTAAGTTCGCAGCTGTTTGTTCAATATTTAGTGTTGAATTGGCGTAAATATCGGTTGTTTTTGTGGTTTATCGAGGCGTTCGCAGCGGCCGCCTTCGTCTTTCCTTTTCAGTCAAGATGGCGGGCGACGAGTCTGGCACAACTCTGGGGCAGCCGCATCTGTCCAAACAAGACCTCACCACTTTAGTAAGACACTTTTCTGCGTTTCCTGCTCGATTGTGAAGCTCTCCTGGATGTTTAGGGTCAAATTGGATGGTTAAATAGTGAGAGAATAGCCCGGGTTTTGGGTGATATCGGAGCCCGGTGTGTCGGTGCTCTTCCCCGGCACATGAGCGGCCCTGCCCGGCGTGAAGATCCGCACACGACACAGCCTAAAAAACATTTAAAGCTTCGTAATTATGCTTTTTATCTATTATTATTCTAGATCTAACATTATAAACGGGCACAAATTTGTTGTCTGTTACGAATCGAGCCGTTTATTTATTTAAATATTCAGTAAAAACACGACCTTCTCTTCTGTACAGGCCAGTGTGTATTGTATATTGTATTTACTTTTATTAGGTTAAAGCTGCAATGTGTAACTTTTCTGGTTGAGGCCTGTCACTTGCTTGTCTCCGTGGAGATGTTATTGCTTTGCCCAGAAGGTTTCACAGTGTGGCATTAAACCCATCCATCTGTCATATCCGACTTATCCAATTAGAGGCGTTTTATTGCAAAAAATACCTTGATATTATATTAATTATATGATATGATATTATTTTTGTATATTTGTTTATTTTATTTATTTTTTGTATTATTTATTTTTTTATTATTATTTAATTTATTTATTGTAGTTTTTTACTTTTACAGTTGAACATAATATCCATGTTGACATCAGTGCGTTCGTATTGACAGAAACAAGAACAACAACAAAAACAAAAAAAACATTCAGTGTCAGGGTTCCCACGGTCATGGAAATCCTGGAAAAGTCATGGGATTTTAGTGTCTCTTTCACTCAACTCCAGTGTTCTGTTCAGTTCTCATGAGTCTGTTCTGATTATTTGTGAACGTCTGCGCCTTTTGTTTAAAAGAGACGACAATAAATGCACTGACAGGATTTTAAATGTTTAATGTTGCAAAACCATGCAGTTTTGATTCCATTTGTGATGTACATGTTTAAAAAGTAGTATTCTGTTGAGGTTGCACATTATAAACAACCTCAGGAGTGTTCACATTTGAAACATGAACAGAAGAGTCCTCTGTGTTTCAGAACATGTTTGTAAAAGTCTAAACTACAAGTACATCATGTTTTTCTATTTAAAAGAAACAGGATGTTTAGTTTTGTGCAGAGGGTTTTCTGTTAATGATGACATGTTCTTTCCTCTGCAGGACGTGACCACACTCACACCTCTGTCTCAAGAGATCATCAGCAGACAGGCCACGATCAACATCGGTACGAAACCTCCAACATCACACTCTCACACTCTCACACTCTACTCAGGGCTCGGTGATGTGGGAACAGACTTGTACTTCTGGGGGGTCAGAGGGAGAGATGAGACTTTTTAGACAAAATGTGCAGACTCAAGTCAAAACTTGTGAATATGTGAGGTGACATAAAGAGACGCTCTGTGTCTCAGGTGCTTTGTAAAATAATAATCACCAGCAACATGCGCTCGTTTGTTGATATCGTGATCTGTCAAGCTTTCGATCTATTGATAATATTGATTTTGGGCACAGTCCTGACTCTGCTGCTGTGTTTGAGACGACAAACGACATTCTGTAGTCGTCCTGTTTGATTAAAGACGGATGGGGGCAGTTCAAATGAACATGGTTTAAATGCAGATTTCTGTTGTAATAATTGTGTTGTCTCCATACTAACATTTCAAACTTGATTTTGATGCTCAATACTGATTCTGATATCACTATGATAATAATTTAAAAAACTCTTTGTTTACACGACAGAATGTGATTTTCCACATTAAATGGTAGAACTTCATTTTCTGTTCCCGTTTGTCCTTATATCTGTGTGATCCCTCAGTGGTCCAGGTCTAAACCAGGTCTAAACCAGGTCTAAACCAGGTCTAAACCAGGTCTAAACCAGGTCTAAACCAGGTCTAAACCAGGTCTAAATGATCCATCTCTAGATTGTTCTAAAGACATTCTGTCAATGGGACCTTCTCAAATAAGGATCTAGTTTCGATACTTGTTTAAGTATCGATTAGTGCCTGATTTTCGATACTTTTGACTAATCCTTCGTGTCTTGTTTTGTGTTTGTTCAGGCACCATCGGTCATGTGGCTCACGGTAAATCCACGGTGGTCAAAGCGATCTCCGGAGTCCACACCGTCAGGTTCAAGAACGAGCTGGAGAGAAACATCACCATCAAGCTCGGCTACGCTAACGCCAAGGTGAGCTGCAGCCGCCGCCTGGTTTCATGGACGTCCTGATAACAGAAAGCTTTTACGCACAAGGAAGACATTTTTCTGAGTTTAAACCTTCATTTAACAAAATACAGCACTTGTCATTTATTTTTATGAGTCAAATCAGAACTACAGGCTCTATTGACGCTTACCGGAAGATGATGACGGATGACGATTTCTGGTGTCGTTTTCCAGTGTCATTTTCTGGTGTAGGATTCAGCAGCAGCGTCTTCACAACCTGCCAAAGCTTTCCACGGAGGACGGGACTCTTTTTTTTTTTTTTTTTTTTTTTTATGCATTTATTTTGGGCAAGTAAAGATTTACATTTATATACAATGGAACATATGACATAAGTGAAATCATAATAGAAATGAAAATAACAACAACTACTAATAACTATTATTATTACTATTTTGCCCAAAAAGGAGTGGGAAGAAGAAAACTTATTTAATCCCACCCCTACTCTTCATAATCTAACACAATGATCTTATTTTGCGTTTTTCAGACATTTTGAATTAAACTATATGAACTATTTACAAGTGCAGACAAGAGTCACTGTTATAGTTTGGTAGTAGAACATAAGTGCACCAACAATGGTAAAGTTAAGGAAACAGACAATGGTAAGAAACAACAAATACAAGTAATGTAATGGACAGAACAAACCAGCAATGGTAAGAAAACAACAAACATAAACCAGCGCTACAGAGGCAGTATTTTTCTAATATTATGACCCATTCTCCATATACTGTGACCATATATAATAACTCTAATCTTGTCTTCAGTGTCACTAAGAGGCCGCTGGATGAAACTGTCGATTTGCCAAACATAACAGAACGCCTCAGTGACATCTTTTTATTTTTTACTTAGTGTTACACAAATGAGGAAGAAAATGGATGGATAGAAGAAAAAATACAGTGACATCTAGATGAAGAAAACTGGGTAATTTTGTCAGAGTTTTTATCGCCAACGGAGCCCAGAGGAAGTCGTCATCCACATGTTTCTAAACGTCGCCGGTTTTGTGACTGTTTTGTGACACACAAGCGTGAATCGAGTCTATTGTGTAATTTAGACAAGTTTTGGCTGTGGTTTACATGATGGTTGCTAGGTAACAGTTGTGACATAAATGGACGTAAATCCATATCAGCCAATCAGGAAATAACATTATGAACATCAGCAACACTACAAAACTAGAAGAAAAAAAGCAAGATTTTTAGTCTAATGATTATCTGTCTGACCTGTCAAATTAATCTCACCCTAAATCTGGTGTAAAGCTTCTCCTCTTGAACCATCTCGTGTTTACATGTCGTCTTCTACAGATTAAATCTGATCGTATCACAACAGAAACTCCCCACATCTCCACACTTTTACAGAGAAAACGTCCACACGATAAATACTGAGCCCAAAAATATGTAACACAGTACAACAGACTTAGACTTAGACAAACTTTATTGATCCACAGGGAAATTATTTGGACACAGGACACACATCACAATAAAATATAATAACAAAGAAGAAAAAATAAATGGTAATAATACATTCTAAATAAGTAGCAAAAAATGGCAAAACACATATGAGACCGATGAGAAATAAGACATAATTATATAAATGTTTATGTACAAGTAAAAGTAAAAAAAAAAAAACAATACAATACAAAATACGACATATTCTGATTTACAGGCCTTTTAATCCTGTTTCTTCTGTTTCTGTTCAGATTTACAAACTGGACGACCTGAGCTGTCCACGACCCGAGTGTTACCGCTCCTGTGGCTCCAGTACTCCAGACGAGTTCCCCACAGACCTGCCCGGGACCCAAGGGAACTTCAAACTGGTCAGGTACAAAAAGAACCACATGTGTATCTGAAGGCGTCCTCACTCCTCCGCCGCTCTGTTTTTATCTCCATAAACTCACAGAGGAGTGTGTCACAGCAGGACTCACATCTGTCTCACTATTAAGAGTTATTTCTGCCGCTGGACTTACTTTCTCTGTTAAAAGCGTTCGCCCTGATGTGCAAAATGTAAACAAACAGCGCCGTGTGGTGACGTCATCGGGCCGTGGCTCAGTTTGGATGTGAGTTCAGAACATAGAACTCAGAACTCGAGCTTGAGCACGACACACATCAAAAGTCCTAGTGTGAGTCTGAACCGTGTTTATATAAATGGACAGGAAGTTCACACGTGGCTCTTCTGGCTCATTCTGACTCTGGCTCCCGTTGACTTACGTTGGAATACTGTGGGATCAGATATCGGCTTTAAAATATCGGTTGAGCAGATTTCCTGGTTGGACTTAAAAAATGATGTTATAAAATAATTGGCACTGGTCGTAGTCGCCCAGAAAAACTCAGTGTTTGAAGGTTGTTTTCTGGTTCTTTAAACAATAAATCACAGCTCCATAAAACATTTGGAGCAGTTTTGTCGTATTTTAGTTTTAGGTAAATAAATGTTGTTGATATCGGGTTTTGAAGGACACCTGATATCGGAATTTGTTTTGGAACAGGAAAACCTGGATTGGTGCATTTTCATTAGATTTTCCCTAAATTTAGACACTTTTATTCTTGAAAAGTACTTGTTTATAATATTTACTTATAATATTTTTGTTTACACATTTAATTCCTTTTGTACATTTGGTTGATCTGAAGTTGTTCTCAGAAAACTCACATTTAGATTCATTTTTTTTATCTGGTTTAGTTAAAGACGTGACTCCTAAACAGACGAGCGCCGCTGTGACCAGAGGAAACGACCTTTTGTTTGTAAATCGTTTGTGATCGATTAAACCTGAGTGAGTTTTGTTTGTTTGTTTCAGACACGTGTCGTTCGTGGATTGTCCGGGTCACGATATTCTCATGGCGACGATGTTGAACGGAGCGGCCGTGATGGACGCCGCTCTGCTGCTCATCGGTAAAACACAAGCTTCTCTGAACTGATTTTTATTTCTGTAAAACTGTAAAACGTCTCGTATCATGGAAAACTGACTCTTGTAGCTTTAGTCGTGTTCTAATGTTCCTGCTCAAAAACAGAGCTGGAGTTGTGTTTTGTTTCATTCACATGTTTGAGTAACGGTTCCTCGCTGTTTGTTTTTTTCCGTTTGTTTTTGTGTTTTCAGCGGGAAACGAGTCGTGTCCTCAGCCTCAGACGTCCGAGCATTTGGCCGCCATCGAGATCATGAAACTGAAGCACATCCTGATCCTCCAGAACAAAATCGATCTGGTCAAAGAGTCTCAGGCCAAAGAACAGTACGAGCAGATCCTGGCCTTCGTGCAGACTCTGTCCTCTGTCCTCTGTCCACTGTCCTCTGTCCTCTGTCCTCTGTCCACTGTCCACTCTGTCCTCTGTCTGTCCTCTGTCCACTGTCCTCTGTCCTCTGTCCTCTGTCCTCTGTCCTGTCTCTGTCCACTCTGTCCTCTGTCCCTCTGTCCTCTGTCCTCTGTCCTCTGTCCTCTCTCTGTCCTCTGTCTCTGTCCTCTGTCTCTGTCCACTCTGTCCTCTGTCTGTCCTCTGTCCTCTGTCCTCTGTCCTCTCTGTCTCTCTCTGTCTCTGTCTCTACTCTGTCCTCTGTCTCTCTCTACTCTGTCCTCTGTCCTCTGTCTCTCTCTGTCCTCTCTCCTCTGTCCTCTCTGTACTCTCTCCTCTGTCCTCTCTCTCTCTCTCTGTCTGCTCTCTCTCCTCTCTCCTCTGTCCTCTGTCCTCTCTCCTCTGTCCTCTGTCCTCTGTCCTCTGTCCTCTGTCCTCTCTCCTCTGTCTTCTGTCCTCTGTCCTCTGTCCTCTGTCCACACGACATTCACATTTTACACATTCTACACCTCAACATCTGAGAGAGACTGAAAGTTCTACACTCTTAGGGTAAACGTTGCGTCTCTTCCTCTTCTGTGTCGCTGTCGTCAGACTCAGCATCAGTTCCAGTTAGAATTATTCTGGTCTTTCTGAATCTGGACAGGATGGTTTCGGTGTCACTGAAGTCCAGACTTTGTCCATCATCCAGTGACTTCAGGAAAGTTTCATGGTTCATCCTCCCGGTGTCACAAGTTTCTCTCTCACTCCAAACTTTCTTTCTGCTGCTCGATTTTCGTTTTCAGCTGCAGATTTCACGACTCGCAGTTTGTAAATCTGCAGAATCTGATTTTGTTTTTCGGGGGCCTTTGTGTTCAATCTTCTCAGTCTTTGTCTTTATAAGTTTGATTAAATGTTAAATAGTTGAGTGGTGCAGAAGTAACGCTGCCATCGACTGACTTATAGTGTGAAAAATACAGTAATACCCCACCAGTGTCGGGGAGTAATGCAGATTACATGTACCGGAGTTAAGTAATCAGAGTACAAATGATGAGTAACTGTATTCAGTTACAGTTACTGTTTCAGTGACTGGTAATTGGATTACAGTTACTTTGTTGAAATAAATGGATTATACAGAGGGATTTTCCTGTTTTCACATTTTGGGCTAAATCCCACCTTTATTTTCCTTTTTTTTTTTTTTTTTTTTTTCGGTAATTCCACTTATTGCCGTAAACTGAACCAGGACTAAACCAGGACTAAAACCAGGACTAAAACCAGGACTAAAACCAGGACTAAAACCAGGACTAAACTAGATCTAAACCAGGACTAAATCATGCTGCTTGGACGTGTCTCCTCCTCTTCTATCAATAATATTTTTTAATACAGTTGAAATAAAGTCTGGGCTTTTTATTTTCTTTTATCAGACAAAACATCTTATGTTACGATTTCCTCGTCTTTGCTTTTCTACAGCAAATCAAGTAATCCAAAGTATTCAGATTACCTTACTCACTTTAAGTAATTTAATGGATTACGTTACAAACTACATTTTGGGGTATGTAATCTGTAATCTGTAGGGGATTACATTTCAAAAGTCACCTTCCCAACACTGTACCCCACAGAAGTCACATCCCCCTCTTTTAATGTTTCGCTCGGTAAAATACGAATAAATAAAATCCTGTTTATCTGCTTGTTCTTGTCGTTTCCTCGGCAGTAAATGTTGTGGTGTAATTCCAGGCACGGTGGCAGAGGGCGCTCCCATCATTCCCATCTCGGCGCAGCTCAAGTACAACATCGAGGTGGTTTGTGAATACATCGTGACGAAGATCCCCGTGCCCGTCAGAGACTTCACCTCCGAACCGCGGCTCATCGGTACGAGACTCCGCCCGCTTTTACACATTCGAGTTTAAAGGGCCAAAACTGTTTAAGTCGTGTTCTGACGCTGTTCCCTCCTCAAAAACTCACCTGGACAGCTCCTTTTACCTTTAGTTCAGTAGAGATCGACAATTCCAGAGCTGAAACAATCCAAATGATTCTAGTGAAGGAGTGTGGAGTTTGTGAGGAGGAAACTACATTAGAACAGATCAGAAAACGGTCTCATACAGGCCCTTTAAAGAGTATTTTTAACTTAAACTTTGACTTAAATCCTGCTGTGTCTCTGTAGTGATCCGATCATTTGACGTGAACAAACCGGGGTGTGAAGTGGACGACCTGAAGGGAGGCGTGGCAGGAGGCAGCATCCTCAAAGGCATCCTCAAGGTTTGGAGAATGGCCCTTAAAAAAAAAACTTTAACAGAACTCTCGCTGTGTTATAAATGAGCATTTTGTCAGCAGATTAGAAAGAGGAAGGAAAAGACGCTGGTTTGACGACCCCTGAGTTAAAAATTTTAGTAGCACAGAAAAAAAATTAGGGCACAAGTAGGTTTTTGTTTTGAACGTTTATTACAGTGCAGAATTTAACACCAACACCAACTTACGTGAATGAATTTTATACCAAAAATAAAATAATTCTGACTGATTTTCTCCTTCGTGACGCTGGTTTTGGGTCAGATCCTTGAGTCGTGGATCTGCCCAAAGTTTCTTTCTGCAGACGAACAGAAAAAACTGAATTGAAAAAAATTAAACTTCAGATTCAGGGTCTGTTTACACAAGAACGTTTGCGGGTAAAACGACACAATATTTTATGGGAAGTGTCTTTTGTTTAGACCAGACATGTCAAACTCACAAGTTTGGCCTGTGATATAATTATATTTGGCCCGCGAGATCACATCAAATCTGTATCAGAGCTGCGGCCGCACACAGATCGACATTATTTATTTAAGCTGTTATTATTTTATATTCTGTTTGTTCTGGATTCAATGTTTAAGCAAAACTATTATTAAACATTTATTTTAATAAGAAAAGGTTTAACATTACAGATCTGGAAAGAAGAGAAAACATGCAGATGTTGTTGAAATTTTTTAATAAATATTTAGTTTGGCCCACGACTTAGACCCAGTTTTTAATTTTGGCACAAACGTACCAAAGATCTGTGCTTGATCATGATTCTAAACTCCTAGTGCGAGTACAACCTTAATGTTTCATTCATTTTGGAATGTTTAACTTGTCATGTTTCGTCTGTGCTCAGGGTTCTTCTTATTGTGGGCTGCAAGAAAGCACTCACACACGTGCACCTGTGTAATTTTTCACGTTCACAAGCTGAAATATTTGCTCACAGATGTGAGTAAAATGGGCACTAGAGCTGTGGTTTACGTGTGTGTGTTGTTTGTCTCAGGTGGGTCAGGAGCTGGAGGTGCGTCCGGGCATCGTGTCCAAAGACCAGGACGGTAAACTCATGTGTAAACCCATCTTCTCCAAAATCGTGTCTCTGTTCGCCGAACACAACGACCTGCAGTACGCTGCCCCCGGAGGACTCATCGGTAACTACAACAACACTCCACAGAATACAATACTACAAATACTCACATAAACTCATACTCACACATGTCCTGCTTTAGTCCTGCTTTAGAGTTGTGTCAGTGTCATCAGATAGTTTTAATATTAGCATTTATCTGTGCTGACTGGAGGCACTGCTGTGTCTGACTGAGACTTTAATCTGAGTTAGAATTAGACACTGTTGAATATTCCACTGTAGACATGATCAAAGTGCATAGAGTCTTGGTGTTTTGAAATGCCTGACCTCTGACCCTCGACCGTCTCTCAGGCGTGGGCACAAAGATCGACCCGACGCTGTGCCGCGCCGACAGGATGGTGGGGCAGGTGCTCGGGGCGGTGGGCGCTCTGCCCGAGATCTTCACCGAACTCGAGATCTCGTACTTCCTGTTACGACGACTGCTCGGAGTGCGCACGGAGGGAGACAAGAAGGCCGCCAAGGTGAGAGGGCGTCTGACACGAAAGGAGGGCATCTGTGTGACCTTTGTGTGACCTCTGACCGACCCTCTGACCTCTGCCCTCCGCCCCTCAGGTCCAGAAGCTGTCGAAGAACGAGGTCCTGATGGTGAACATCGGCTCTCTGTCCACCGGGGGCAGGGTGAGCGCGGTCAAGGCCGATTTGGCGAAGATCGTCCTCACAAACCCGGTGTGCACGGAGGTGGGAGAGAAGATCGCCCTGAGCCGCAGAGTCGAGAAGCACTGGCGGTACGTAGACCGGGTTTAGACCTGGTTTAGACCTGGTTTAGACCTGGTTTAGACCTGGTTTAGACCTGGTTTAGACCTGGTTTAGACCTGGTTTAGACCTTGCTTTACGCCTGGTTTAGTCTTGTTTTACTCTTGTTTTACTCCTGTTTTACTCCTGGTTTTAGTCCTTGTTTTTGTCTTTATCTTTTCTGGGTTTAGACCCTGTTTAGTCCTGCTTTAGACCTGCTTGAATCTTTGTTTTGTCCTGGTCTTTGTCCTGGTCTTTGTCCTGGTCTTTGTCCTGGTCTTTGTCCTGGTCTTTGTTCTGGTCTTTGTTCTGGTCTTTGTCCTGGTCTTTGTCCTGGTATTAGACCTGCTGTAATCCTGCTTTAGACCTTTTTGAATCTTTGTTTAGTCCTAGTTTTAGTCCTGGTTTTAGTCCTGGTTTTAGTCCTGCTTTAGACCTAGTTTTAAACCTGCATTAGACCATCTTTAGACATGCTTTAGTCCTGTTTCAGTCCTGATTTTAGACCTGCTTTTAGACATTCTTTAGTCCTGATTTAGTTCTGATTTAGACCTGCTTTAGACCTACTTCAGTCCTGCTCGAATATTTGTTAAGTCCTGGTTTTAGACCTGGTTTTAGTTCTAATTTTAGTCCTGGTTCACACCCGCTTTAGTCCTGCTTGAATCCTTTTTTAGTCATAGTTTTAGTTCTGGTTTTAGACCTGCTTTAGACCTTTTGGATCTTTGTTTAGTCCTGGTTTTAGACCTTCTTTAGACCTGATTTAGTCCTGGTTTTAGACCTTCTTTAGACCTTCTTTTGACCTGGTTTTAGTCTTGCTTTAATGAAAATCTTCCTTTACTTTCCTCTGTGACTCGTCCTGTCTCTGTGTCTGTTTTTTTCTCTTCAGTCTGATCGGTTGTGGTTCGTTTTTAACCTCATGTCTGTTTTTTTCTCTTCAGTCTGATCGGTTGTGGTTCGTTTTTAACCTCATGTCTGTTTTTTTCTCTTCAGTCTGATCGGTTGGGGGCAGATCCGCAGAGGAGTGACCATCACCCCGACCGTGGACGACGACTGAAGCTGCGCCGCCGCCTCCTGCTTTATTTTATTTAGTTTTTTTATTATTTCGCTTCAACAGTTTCCTCCTTTTGTCCAAAGACACGAGGTCGAGACTGAATCTTCTCCAACATCTCCAGAAGAACACACACATCTGTCTGTCAATAAACTCATTTGGACGAAACACGATTTTATTTCTCCTTTTTCAAAACTCCATTTCACTTTTCTACAAATTAAAAAACAAATTTACTTTAATTCCACGATTTTATGCAGGTTTAGTCTCACTTATTAGTATTTTGTATCATAATTCTCATTTTGTATCTTTAGTTTTTATTCTTTAAAGGTGCACTGGAGCGTAGAGATGTTTTTTGCCTGAAATGTTCCACAGTAGGGCATTAAACATCTGCCTTGGATTCCAGGTGTTTTCTAGCTCAAAAAAACCTTTAAAAACACGACTTCTTACCACGTGCGGGCTCGCTTCTCCGTAGATCTGACCGTTTACTTGTTATAAGTTTATTTCCAGACTGAAACCATCGAGGCAAAGCTGTAACATCTCCATGGAGACGAGCAGAAAAGTGACGTAGTGTGGCTTTAGCCTCATACAGCGTGTCCCAAAACATTTGAGATCATTTCGCAGGTCGATCATTTTGGCAATTCTCGTTGAAATAACCTCAAATTTTCCCAGAATGTTTAGAAACAGATGAAGATTTTAGATTTAATGTTTTTTGTTTTTGTTCTGTTTTCAGCTTGAGACGTTCAAAGAGGAACAGACGTCATTTTGAGTCTTGGAGAAATTGACCAGACGCCCCTGTTTTCCCCGGGACAGTCCCAGTTCTGAGTCTCTGCAGATTTATCCCAAAGCCACTGATTTGTCTCAGTTTCATACAAAAAATGTCCCAGGTGTTTATATTTTTGACCAGTTTGATCTCTGACAACAGTAAAGAGAGACAGAAACTGACATTTGTTTAGATAAAATACAGAAAAGCTGCTGAAAAACAAAGAAAATGTGACTATACTGACTCACATTAGTGACGAGTGTGTAACAGTTTTCCTTAATAACACTCGTTTTTACAATTTTATTATTACCAGCCTAAACCAGGGTCGTCCCAGTTTTTATTTTGAAAATCTGGTCAAGACTCTGCTGACTTCAATGCAAAATTTGGAAAAACTTCAACAAACAACAAATTTAGACTTGGTACCAAAAATGTAAAGAGGAAGGATCTACGGAAGCCGAGAGGGTCACAACAAACGCAAACGCTGCAACAAATACAAATGCGACAACACAACAAAAAAAGCCACAACACAACAAAAAAAGCCACAACACACCAAAAAAAAAGCCACAACACACCAAAAAAAAAGCACAACACACAAAAAAAAAGCCACAACAACACCAAAAAAGCCACAAAGGAAATGACCGCGGGACTCTGTATTTGTAATGCAAACGTTTGCAACAAATAAAACACAACACAAACGCAAATGCCACAACACATTAAAAAGCCACAACACACCAAAAAGCCACAACGGAAGTGACGGCGGGACTCTATTTTCCGACAGACCGATCAAGCGGCAAGTGAAGAAGAAGAACTACAACGTGAAACGAATAATGATAAAACAATAAATTACTTTTACTTACGTTTCCAACTTCTCCGTTCCTTTACTTTTCACGTTGTAGTTCTTCTTCGCTTGATCGGTCCGTTGGAAAATAGAGTCCCACGGTCACTTCCGTTGTGGCTTTTTGATGTGTTGTGGCTTTTTAATGTGTTGTGGCATTTGCGTTTGTGCTGTGGCGTTTGTATTTGTTGCGGCGTTTGCATTAAAATAAAGTCCCGCGGTCATTTCCGTTGTGGCTTTTTTTGGTGTGTTGTGGCTTTTTTTTGTGTTGTTGCATTTGTATTTGTTGCGGCGTTTGCGTTTGTTGTGACTTCTCTCGGGTTCCGTAAGGATCTGGTACCAACGTGAACATCAGAAGAAAAAGTCGAGCAAGTTCATGAAAAACTCTCGCTGTAAGGAGAATGATGTTTTGATGTAACATTTGGAAAAAACTTCAACTGGTAAACAGATTTATGTTGCGTGACAAGACAGAATTCTTGATATTTTCTCTTGTCATCTTCATTTAAAGTCTGAACGAGCTGCAGACGGTTTCATTTCCAATCGTTTCCTCGGGATTCGTCAAACTGTCATTCGAGGAATCTGGGTTTCCAAACTCGTTTCTCTTTACAGCGAGAGTTTTTCATGAACTTGCTTGAACTTCTCCTCTGATGTTGATGTTGGTACCAGATCCTTCCTCTTTACATTTTTGGTACCAAGTTTTTCCAAATTTTGCCCTGAAGCCTGCACAGTCTTGGGTGAAATTTGTTGTCGAAATTTGTTTGTTAGTTTGTGAAGTTTTTCCAAGCTGCACAGTCTTGGGTGACCAGATTTTCAAAATAAAAAACTGAGACATCCCTGGTTTAAGTTGATAATAATAAAATTGTGAAACGGGTGTTAAATTAAGGAAAACCGTTCCACTCTCTGATCTAACGTGAGTCGATTTAGTCACGTTTTCGTTGTGTTTTGGTCAGTTTTAAGCAGCTTTTCTGTATTTTACCCAAACAAATGTCAGTTTGTGTCTCTCTTTACTGTTGGCAGGGATCAAATTGGTCAAAAATAGAGACACTTGGGACGTTTCTTGCATAAAACTAGGACAAATCTGCTGGGACTCAGAACTGGGACTGTCCCGGGTAAATGGGGACGTCTGGTCACTCTGTCCAAGACTCAAAATGACTGACTTCTGTTTTGGGAGTGAAGGACACGACTCGACCTGAAAACAGAACAAAAACAAAACATTAAATATAAACTCTTGATCTGTTTCTGTACATTTCTGTGAACATTTGAGGTTATTTCAACACGTATTGCCTAAATTTCTGTTCTGTGAAGTGATGTGAGTTTTCTGGGACGCGCTGTATTTGTCAACAGAACAATGCCGCGTGTTTCGCAATCGTCCTGTAGTTCTGCGCGCCGCTCTGTTTACAAAGTCACCGCCTACATTTCCCACAATCCCCGGCCTTACGCAAGCGCCGCAAGACAATCCTTCACAATAAGACGCTGACCGACATTTGCCCGTTTAAATGTCCGTGTGAATCTGCGTCGGAGCTTTTATTTTGAAGGTGAGTTGTGTCTTGACTTCGCCTCTGGGCTGGGACCGGCCGAGCACGGGGAGGAGGAGGCCGGTCTGAACCTGGACTAAACCTGGTCCAGTCCCGGAGCTGGAGGACGGTCTCCGCGTGGACAGGCGCGGGTTTGACCGGGGACATGAGGCTGAGCGTGTCCGCCGCGGTGCTCCTCTCCGCCGCCGCGTACTACGTGTATCTGCCGCTGCCCCCGGGAGTCTGCGAGCCCTGGAAGCTCATGCTGCTGGACGCGCTCTTCAGGAGCTTCATGAGCGCGGTGAGACGCACCGGGGACACGGGAGAGGGGACAGAGACGAGGACAGGACTGGGACAGACGCACGGACACCGGGGACAAGGGAGAGGGGACAGAGACGAGGACAGGACCGAGAGAGACGCACGGACACCGGGGACACGACTGGGGACAGGAGACAGGGACAGAGACAGGACCGGGAGAAACGCCTGTACATCGAGGCCAGAACTGGGGACAGGAGCTAGAGAGCAGAGACGCACGGACACCGGGGACAAGAGACACACAGGGACAGGAGCGAGAGAAGGGAGGACTTGGCCCGGGGGAGAGACGCACTGACACTCGGCACAGAACTGCGGGAGAGGACAACGGGGACAAAAGACAGAGACGCACGGACACTGGGGACAGGAGCGAGGGAGAGGAGAGGACTTGACCCGGGGAGAGACAGAGAGACAGAGAGAGACAGGAGCCGGGCTCTGACACCGGGGACAAGGGTCAAAGAGAGGACGGATACCGGGGACAGGGCCAGGGGACAAGAGCCTGACAGAGGGACAGGACCGAGAGAGGGGAGGACTTGGCCCGGAGAAAGACGCACTGATACCAGGGAGAGAGAGAGAGAGACAGGTGCCGGGGTTTGGGCTCTGACACCAGGGACAAGAGCCAGAGACAGGAACAGGACCGAGAGAGGAGGGAGAGAGAGGGGAGGACTTGGCCCAGGGAGAGCGAGACAGAGAGAGGGAGAGAGACAGGAGCCGAGGACATCAGGGACAAGAGCCAGAGACGAGGACAGGACCCAGAGAGGGAAGGAACTGACCCGAAAAGAGACGCACAGACACCAGGGACAGAAGCGAGGGACAAGGGCCAGAAAGAGGGACAAAACCAAGAGACAGAACCGAGAGAGGGGAGGATTTGGCCCGGGGAAAGACGCACTGACACCAGGGACAGAACAGGAGGACAAGAGCCAGAGAGAGGGACAGGGACAGGACAGAGAGAGGGGAGGACTTTATTTGAACCGGGGAGAGACGCACTGACACCGGGGACAGGACCGGAGAAAGAGAGTGGACCTGGACCCGGAGGGGGACAGGAGCGGGGACAAACGGGGACAAACGGGGACATGAGTTCTGAATGTGTCTCACTGAAGCTGCAGTTCTGACCTGGTTTATTTTGAATCTCTGTGTAATAACCGAGTCTGTATTTAGTGTTTTTTTTTCTTCAGTATCAGGTCATTTTCTTTCCTTAAACTCCTTCACTCCCCGTGGACTTGTCTCCTTGTCTCCTTGTCTCCTTGTCTCCTTGTCTCTTGTCTCGAGTTTGTGGAATGTCTGAATCCAACATGAAAAAAAATGCAGATAATTTAATAAAGAGCTCAGCACGAGACTCGCTCTGAAACAATACGAGGACTTTACTTGAGAATAATACGCTCTCCTTAAAGCTTTACTGTGCAACTTTTCTGCCGGAGAGTCTCGTTTCCACGGCGACGTCAAACACTTCCCCACAGTTTCGATTCAAAACCAAAAAACCCACCCGACCAAACCTGCATTTTTACTCGTATCGCGGTCGCCTCTCCACAGATCTGACCTCTAACTTGACCCGGTGGTGTTTCTTGCTTGTTTCCATGGAGATTTTGAGTTAATGCCGGACTGTGGGACATTCCGGACAAGGCAGTAACATCTCGTACGGTGTAATCTGCACATTTGGGCCACGTTGATGAGTTTTTAATGTTGTTTTTACGGAGACAAAGCTGATATTTTCTTGCAGACGCGTTTGTGGAGATTTTCACAGATTTCACCGACCACCACCGATTTTTTTAAGCGTCTATAAGTTTTTAAAAGCGTCTGTAACTGTTCTTTAGTGATGACAAAACCCCAGACCGGTGTAGTTTTGCGTTCAGAGGAGAGGAGAGAGGAGAGAGCAGGAGGGTGAACTGGATTTTCTCGTCCCCACGCCCCTCGGCTCCTGAAGCTCTGCGCTCGGGCGGAGCTCAGCCGAGAACAGAACGTGATTTTCAACATTATTTTCTGTTCTGTTCCCACGTGGCCTCGTGTCTGTGGAATCCCTCAGTGGTCCAGGTCTAAACCAGGTCTAAACCAGGTCTAAACCAGGTCTAAACCAGGTCTAAACCAGGTCTAAACCAGGTCCAAAGGTGAGTGAGTTTTATCTGAGCAGAACAAAAGTGCCGAGATATGGAACTGGGCTCAAGTTTAAGGGTCTGTCCATCATAAGTGTTTCTGTGTGTTTCTGTGTGTGTTTCTGTGTGTGTTTCTGTGTGTGTGTGTGTGTGTGTGTGTGTGTATAGGATCAGACAGTGAGGTCAGGTTGTGTGTGTAAACTGCACTGGGCGTTGTGCAGCTCCGGGGCCACATTCGTCCCTTTACTCGACTATGATTGGCTCGTTTATGCTCATTTGGAATCACAAAATAAATACAAATATTTTATGATTTGACCTCATGCGTCGTCTCCGGGGGGTGGAGAGTCTCTGCCTCGAGTGGAGGAGTTCAAGTCTGTCGGGGTTTTGTTCTCGAGTGAGGGGAGGATGGAGCGTGAGATTGACAGGTGACAGCGTGAGATTGACAGGTGCAGGTGCAGCGTGAGATTGACAGGTGGACAGGTGCAGCGTGTGCAGCGTGAGATTGACAGGTGGACAGGTGCAGCGTCGGCAGTGATGCGGTCGCTGTATCAGACTGTTGTGGTGAAGAGGAGCTGAGTCTCTGTTCCTCCCCTCACCTCTGGTCATGACCTGAAGGACCAGATCCACGATACAAACGACACAAATGAGTTTCCTCCGCAGGGCGTCCGGGCGTCTCCCTCAGAGACAGAGTGAGGAGCTCGGAGTAGAGCCGCTGCTCCTCCACGTGGAGAGGAGCGTCTGAGGGGAGGACGTCTGTTCTGACGTCTCCTGGACGTGTCCCTCAGGAGGTGTTCATGTCCCAGCGGGAGGAGGAGGAAGACCCAGGACACACTGGAGGGACTCTGTCTCTGGACTGGACTGGGAACACCTCAGGTCCCCCCAGAGGAGCTGGAGGAAGTGTCTGGGGTGAAGGAAGAAAATGGATGGATGGAGCTCGTGCCTGGACTAAAGCTGCATTGGTTTTATTTCAGAAATGTTTTTTTTAAAGCAGTGTCACTTTTTCGTTGCTGCGTCAAACATAAACTCAGTCTGAGCCGCTCGTCAGAACAATGAGATTTACTGATTTTTATCAAGAAATACAATTAATATTCTGTAGAATTGAGTTCAGCATTTTGGCCTCCACAATTTTTTTCTGTTCCTCATGTGGTTCCATGAAAAAAATAATAAAATAATTTCCCTCCTCTGACACATGATCCTTTGCTCAGGGCAGAGAAGAACATTAGAAACAAAAAACTCTGTAATGTCATGGTACGATCGTTATAGTTAAGATTTTGATTAAAAACAAAAAAACAGAACATTATCCAGTTTTTTTATTTTGTTGAAATCATGTTTAAAGTCTCAGAAAAATGTGCTGCTTGTGTAAATTTTGCTGAAGGTTCTGGATTCAGTCCCCGGGTCGTCCTGGTCTGTCTGTGTCTGGGCGGGTTTCCTCCAGTTTCCCTCATCAGAACTAAAAAAAAACCTGCACCAGAGACGACAGGTCGACCTGAGCTCTACGACCTGAGCTCTACGACCTGAGCTCTACGACCTGAGCTCTACGACCTGAGCTCTACGACCTGCACAAAACATCTGAGACCAAATCAATCAATAAGAAATAAATCAACTTTTTAACACAAAAATGTGACGTCATCAGTTTGGGAAATGACTGTTGTCTCCTGTCTCACCTGTCTCACCTGTCTCCTCTCACCTGTCTCACCTGTCTCCTCACCTGTCTCCTCCTCTCACCTGTCTCCTCTCCCTGTCTCACCTGTCTCCTCCTCTCACCTGTCTCCTCCTCTCACCTGTCTCACCTGTCTCCTCCTCTCACCTGCTCCTCCTCTCACCTGTCTCTCACCTGTCTCTCTCCTCTCCCTGTCTCACCTGTCTCACCTGTCTCCTCCTCTCACCTGTCTCCTGTCTCACTCCTCCTCTCCTCTCCCTGTCTCCTCCTCTCACCTGTCTCCTCTGTCTCACCTGTCTCCTCTGTCTCACCTGTCTCCTCTCACCTGTCTCTCTCTCACCTGTCTCACCTGTCTCACCTGTCTCCTCCTCTCATCACCTGTCTCCTCCTCTCACCTGTCTCCTCTCCTCTCCCCTGTCTCACCTGTCTCCTCCTCTCACCTGTCTCACCTGTCTCCTCTCTCCTCTCACCTGTCTCCTCCTGTCTCACCTGTCTCCTCCTCTCACCTGTCTCACCTGTCTCACCTGTCTCTCACCTGTCTCCCCTGTCTCCTCCTCTCACCTGTCTCACCTGTCTCCTCTCCTCTCACCTGTCTCCTCCTCTCACCTGTCTCCTCCTCTCTCCTGTCTCCCCTGTCTCCTCCTCTCACCTGTCTCACCTGTCTCCTCCTCTCACCTGTCTCACCTGTCTCCTCCTCTCACCTGTCCTCTCTCTCACCTGTCTCACCTGTCTCCTCACCTGTCTCACCTGTCTCCCCTGTCTCACCTGTCTCCTCCTCTCACCTGTCTCACCTGTCTCCTCCTCTCACCTGTCTCTCCTCTCACCTGTCTCCCCTGTCTCCCCTGTCTCACCTGTCTGTGTGACAGGGTGAGCTCCTGCACGGCCTGGGCGTCCTTCACAGGGTGCACCTGTTGAATCGTCTGGTGTCTCTGGTGGAGGAGGTGCCGCCGCGCTCCAGCCCCGCCCTCCTGGTCACTGACTCCGCCCTCTCCGGCGTCCCCGCCCGCGTGTTCCGGCCGCGGGGGGGGCGGGCGCTCAAGAGGGGCGTGCTCTACTTCCACGGAGGCGGCTGGGCTCTGGGCAGTGCACGTGAGGCTCACACGTGCACGCTCCTACACTGACACTGTTCACACGTCACAGGGACGACACGCCGGGGGGTTCTGCGTGTGTGTCTATGGGGGAATGTTCAGCAGTTACCGCGGTGACACACTGCACACATTAACACATTAACAAACACAGACAAAACAGTTTAAGAGTTTAACAGATTCTAAATGGACCAGACAGATTGTGTTAAAATAAAACTCCGATTAAAATTCTAATTTGAGTAACAGAGCTTCAGACAGAGCAGTGCCTCCAGTTAGCGTCACATCCCAGGGAGCTGCTGTAGGTCTGACAACTGAATATCCTAGTGTGACCAAACGTCTGTTTTTTCCCTGGACATGTCTGTTTTTTGTGTTCTGTCCTGGGCGTCCGGGTTTTTTTTTTTTTTTAATTGATGGAAATGTCCAGGTTTTCATTACTGACTAATGACTAATGACTTGGACAAGAAATTCTCCGTTTTCTGTCCTGGTTGGGACAAGTGGGAGGCCATGTGCACCCCCCCCCGGTAAAGTGTCCGGGTTTTCACAAACGGAAATATGGTCACTCTAGAATATCCAGTCTGCAAAAGTCAAATCCACAACATGTTTTTTTCCCCCCGATCATTTCGATCAGTAAGAAACTCCATCTGACACACAACACGTCTGGGAGGGCATCTGACACACAAGGACAGGAGGACGGGAGGGCATCTGACACACAAGGACAGGAGGACGGGAGGGCATCTGACACACAAGGACAGGAGGACGGGAGGGCATCTGGGTTAATCGTGTGTTTCTTTCAGGGATGCGTTCGTACGACCTTCTGTGTCGCAAAATGGCAGAAGATCTCGACGCTGTGATCCTGTCAGTGGAGTGAGTGTCCTCCTCTTCCTCTTCCTCCTCCTCCTCCTCCTCCTCTTCCTCCTCTTCCTCCTCTCTCTCCTTCCTCTTCCTCTTCCTCCTCTTCCTCCTCCTCCTCTTTCCTCTTTCCTCCTCTTCCTCCTCTTCTTCCTCTTCCTTCCTCTTCACCTCCTCTTCTCCTCTTCTTCTTCTGTTCCTCTTCCTCTTCCTTCTACTTCTTACACACTTTCTTCTCCTCTCTCTTCTCTCTTTGACATGTTGATTTCTTTCTTCTTTCTTCTTTCGTTGTCAAACTGGAGGAAATTCAATTTGTCGATTGCGACAAAATTTTGTTGTGCGAACTGCGAGGAAACGACAGTTTGAAAAAGCCTCTAAGAACCGCTGCATAAACCACATAATCCCCAAGCGCCGGCGAGTCACTTACACTAGGGAATTTGATTGACAACCTGACAGCCAATAGAAAATGAGGGAGTCTCATTTTCTATTGGCTGATGTTTATCTGGCCTCAACACGTCCACAGTTGATGAATTTTCATTCTTTTTTTTTTTTTTGATCATCATAATTACAAAGCTGCTGCGTCTCTGTAATGGTATTTTAAACTTTCATTGACAATTTGAAACAAACAAACAAAAACAAAAAAAATCCTAGATACAACCTTTAACTCTCCTCTCTCCTTTCATTTCTCTGGCTCAGATCTGTACTTCACTGTCCTCAAAGGAGCGACCCGAGGCTTTTAGGTGGAGATGTACAGCAGACTGAGGTCCTGTGTTGCTCTCTCGTCTGTGTTGGTTCTTGTGAAGTGTCTGTTTTGTTTCTCCAGTGTCACTGCAGAATGGAGTAGAGCACGTTGCTTCGTTTGGTGCTCTGTGTTTTGTCCTTTTAGGATTTCACCCACCGCAGCACAAACTTGGAGTTACTCAGACATTAGGACACAGGACCCGAGTGGTTCTTACGAGCACAGAGGGAAAGAAGAAAGAACAACATGTGCAGAAAGCTCAGCGAAGTGAAGACTGCAGTGACACTGGAGAAACAAAACAGACACTTCACAAGATGATGAACCAACACAGACGAGAGAACAACACAGGACCTCAGTCTAATGTTCATCTCCACCTAAAAGCCTCGGGTCGTTCCTTTGAGGACAGTGAGGTACAGATCTGAGCCAGAGAAAAAGGGTTTGAGAGTTAAAGAAACTATTTTTGTTAAGAAAGACAATCCTTAAGCCAAAGATGTTCATTTTGTCTTCTTATGTACTTTAACTTCTTGAGGTTTTTTCTAAAGACAATACCGTAAAGTGTATTTGCCTTGTTGACATGTTTCTGCTGCTGCTGCATCTTCAGAACCGTCCCTGGTGTTGGTGGTGAAGTGTCGTGTATCAGATGTCGTTACTTTCTGTGGCCGCGGTCAGTCTGATGGACCTGAAAAAAAGAACCCAAGAAGTTAAAGAGAATCCTTCCTTAAACTGAAAAATCATCATCAGTCTCCATCTACAACTCCACCTTCAAAGGATTCTGCTGATATGTCCCTCACTCAGATACAGACGAACAGACTGAGCTACAAACAGAAACTATAAACAAGTGTGTGTGTTAGTTCCATAGTAGTTTCAGTGTAGTTAGCTCCTCCGTTCAAGCAGATATAAGGAAGTGTCACCAGCGTCTGAACACAACTGAAGAAGCAGCTTGGATGAACTGAGAAACATTTTCGACCTAAACAAACTTTTGTCCAGTCGACAAATTGAGTTTCTCCTTTGACTTGGACGACTGAGGGATTTTTCACACTTCTCTCTCTCGTCTTCAGTTACGGTCTTGCTCCGGAGTCGGTGTTCCCGGCGCAGTACGTTGACGCTCTGTCGGCGTCACGTTCTTTTCTTTCCTCGGAGACGTGGAGCAGATTCGGTTTGGACCCGGACAGACTCTGTATCTCCGGGGACAGCGCCGGAGCAAACCTGGCCGCCGCCGTCACCCAGACCGTGAGGAAATATTACAACAATAATGTGTCACTTTTTGGTTTGGAGTCTGTCACCTGCTCGTTTCCATGGAGACGTCACTGCTCTGTCTGGAATGTTCCACAGTGTGAATTTAAACAGCTCCACTTTACATTTATTGAATCACAGGTGCAGGATTTATAACTCAAAGAAAAACAAAGTGAGCGGGGTCGCCTCTCCACAGATCTGACCTGTAACTTGGTCTAGTTTGGTCTCCTTGAAGATAGAAAGGTTTAATGCCACACTGTGGAACATTCCAGACAAAGTAATAAACCAGGAAAAAAACGGGAATAAACCAGGACTAAACTAAACCAGGACTAAACAAGGACTAAACCTCAAAAATAGCTAGAAAAACAGACATAGACAAAGATAAAAAGGTTTAAAGTCATACTGTGGAACATTACAGACACAACAATAACATCTCCATGGAGAAAAAAAAAAAACATTTGACGAACGCTCCACCAGAAAAGTTCCACAGTGCAGCTTTAAATGTTCTCTATTTTGTGTAGGACAGGATTTAACTCTGGTTTTTATGTCATGAAATGTCCCACAGTGGGGCTTTAAACATAGACTGTGTACACGAGTGGACTCAGGGAGGGCCCACGTTGGCGAGCTTCATTTCTAAATTCAGTCTGTGGGTTTATCTCTGTTCTGTTGTGCTGAAATGTTCCGCAGTGGAGCTTTAACCTGTCCCCTCCCGTGTCTGTTTGTCGTTTGCAGTTGTGCTCGGACCCGTCGCTCCGGTCGTGCCCGCGCCTCCAGGCCCTCGTGTACCCGGTGCTGCAGGCGCTGGACTTCCAGACGTCGTCGTACCAGCAGAACCGGGCCGTGCCGATCCTGTACCCGCCCGTCATGGCCCGGTTCTGGCTGCAGTACCTGGACGCCGACCCGCTCCTGGAGCCGTCGATGCTCCAGAACCAGCACAGCGCCGCCCTCGACCCCGACACGCGCGCCAAGATCAACTGGACCGCCCTCCTGCCCGCCCATGTACGGAAACACTACCTGCCCGTGGGCGTGGCCGGCGGCGGCGACTCGGGGGCGGGGCTCGCTCCTGTGTTCCTGGACGTGCGGGCGGCGCCGTTGTTGGCGGACGAGGCGGTTTTGAGCCGGACTCCTCGGGCGTACATCCTGACGTGTGAGTTCGACGTCCTGCGTGACGACGGGCTGATGTACGCTCGCCGGCTCCTCGACGCCGGCGTCACCGTCACCAGCGATCACTACCACGACGGTTTCCACGGCTGCATGGTGTTCGCCCACCTCCCCATGATGTCATCGGTGGGGAGGCGGAGTCTGGACGGGTTCATACGATGGCTGGACCAGAACTTATGACCTGAAGTGAAAACAAAAAAGAGTTTAATTTAAAACAACAGAATTACGGGTTTTATGTGAAAGAAGCAGGACCACGACAGAAAAAATACAACTTCATCGTTCTACATGTGTGTTTGTGGTAGAATGTTCAGCGGTTACCATGGAGACACAAAGCACACACTAAGTTTTAAGTTTTAAGAATGTACAAAAGTGATTTAAAGAGCACATTTTATTGATTTTTATTGAGCACATGTTTGATTTTAGTGTTTTGTGAAGATCTGTGAAATATTTAAAGAGACGTTTATTATGAAACAGGTTGAAATGTTCCGTATTGTTCTTTTTCTGATTTTGTGATCTGTTCTAGTGTCGTTTCCTCCTCACAAACCGACCCGGAGCTCTGTTTTGTTTCACTAGAATCATTTTTGTCGTTTTAGCCTCATTTAAACTGCTTCACTCCTCAGCGCACCGACAGAAACTCGAGACTTTCTGTTGACAACTGAACTAAATTAAAACGTGATGAAGGAGCAGCGTTAGAACACGAGAGGAGGCTCCAAAAGACTCGACTTTACAGAACACTCCGTCTTTAAAATGAACAAGTCCAGCTCTGTTTGTGACGAGGAAACAGTGGAGCTTTAAAACGGTTCTAAAATATTTTATCACTGGATTTAAAGAATGATTTTATTTCAAACTGTCTGGGCTTGTTTTATTTTATTCTATTTTTTCAAATTCTATTCTATTTCAATCTATTTTATTCTATTCTGTTTTATTTTTTTCTATTTTATTTTATTTGATCTATTTTAGTTTATTTTTATTTATTTTTATTTTACTCTACTTTTATTTTATTCTATTCTACTTTATTTTATTTTTATCTATTTAATTCTGTGTTTTTATTTTATTCTATTCTACTTTATTTTATTTTTATCTATTTAATTCTTTTTTTTTATTTTATTCTATTTTATTTTATTTTTAGCTGTTTAATTCTGTTTTTTATTTTATTCTATTTTATTTTATTTTTAGCTGTTCTGTTTTTTTTTATTTTTATCTATTTTATTCAGTTTTTATTTTATTCTATTCTAATCTATTTAATTCTGTTTTATTCTATTCTATTTAATTTTATTCTGTTCTAATCTATTTTATTTGATTTTGTAATTGAATTGAAACAAACCACTAAAAAAAAAATAAAAATGTGGAAGAAATGAGTGGAAGTCCGGCGGCGAGTCTCGGTCTGGGTCTGAGGCTCTTAAAGGTGCATTGTGTAACTTTTCCGCTCGTTACCATGGTGATGTGATTATTAAAAAAAAAAAAAATCTCAACCCTCCAGTGAGTTTGATTTTGTGTTAAAAAAAAAAAAAAAAAAAAAAAAAGCTTCAGTTCAGGTTTGTTGTTGTTGTTGTTGTTGTTGTTGTTGAACAGCAGAGGGCGCCACACTCCACCTGTCTGTTTGGTTTAGGCTCAAATCCTTCTTTCACTCTCTTTACCTCTCTCTCTCTCTCTCTCTCTCTCTCCTCTCTCTCTCTCTTCCCTCCTTCTCTCTCCCTCCCTCTCCTCCTCTATTTCTCTCTCCTCTCTCTCTCTTTCCTCTCTTCTCTCCTCTCTTCTCTTCTCTCTTTTCTCTCGCTCTTCTCTCCTCCCCCCCCCTTCTCTCCTCTCTCTCTTCTCTTCGCTTCTCTTCTCTCCTCTCGCTCTTCTCTCTCTCTTCTCTTCTCTCTCTTCTCTTCTCTCTCTTCTCTTCTCTCCTCTCGGTCTACTCTTCTCTCGCTCATCTCTCTCCCCCCCTCTCTCTCCTCTCTTCTCTCTCTTCTCTCTCTCTCTTCTCTCTCTCTCTTCTCTTCTCT